TATACCAGAGAGGCCTGCTGCATGTATCACAGACAGACCTACTTCCATCCAATTTACCCTGGCGGGAGGGAAGGGAAAAAGGAAAATAGGTGTCGGGCGGCTGCAACTCTGGTTCAGAAAAGGTGAACCTGATTTGTAGCCGGCCGATTAGTAGTCCTTCTAGTTAGTCATCAACACCACATAAGCACACCACCTGTGCACCAGACACTTCGGTCCACCACATCATCATTCTTGGATGGGTGGCTTCTCACGGCATTCCTGTCCGAGTCCTCCTTATGGTTCGGTGCTTCCCTGTTAACTCATAACTCACCAGGGCCATTGCCTTTGCCTGGATCCTAGTCTGGAGGGGAGGTTTACAACCTCTATAGACCCATATTGACATGATCTTGCTATAGTCTAGTAGCTCTACTGGACCTAAAAGTGGAATCAATCATCGAATCGAATGATTCAATCAATTCGAATCGAATCGAATCAATCATCCCTTTTCAAAAAATTTGCTCGCTGACATCATCAAAAGGGACTAATCTGGTGATCTGCAGGCGCGTGGGATTTGTATCCAAACATCATGACCCCGAAAGATCGCATTGCATCCAACCGAGCCCCAAAAACAATGCTCTGTTGTGAGCTGGACCTTGATGCTCTCTCCAGTGGTAGGCATGCTGTCTTTTACAGGATTTGCAGGCAGGATAGCTAGAGCTATCCGAGTTGCAGTCATTGATCAACGTTCTTCGAGTTGTTCTGGTGTCTAGCTAGACTGGCCGGACTAGTAGTTACCAAGCAACTCTGACTGTATTCAAACGGAGCAAAGTGTGTACGGTATCTTTGTACGCCTTCCAGCGTCGAGGAAGAAGCCTTTTGTACACCAGCAAGCCCTTAGATGAGCCTGGCGTGATTCCAAGGGCTTGCTGCTTGAAACGCTCTCGATGATCCCGACGGCTAAGCAAGGATGATACGGTGCAAGCAACCCTTCTTCGTGGCTTACTTTGAACTTAGACAGCAGAAAGCTCTTCCACGAAGCACAAGTAAAACGTTCTTTTTGTATTTTTTTATTAAGTTAGTTGGTTTCAAATAATCATGCAAGTTGCGAGTTAGGTCCGTGGGTTGTAGTCGTATGGTCATTGCACGTCTTTAGCGCGAAATGGCTACGTCTCTCGCACACGAGGGGCTTGGGAAAAAGCATTCACTGTTTATGGAACCTCGCAGGTCGGGAGGGATACAGTTGCAATCAAATCCTCCACGTTTTTTGTTGTCGCAGTACGCCTGTTGCAACGAATCGGCTGATACACTAGTCAAGTTCCAGCATAGGACATGGTTGAACCAGGAGGCATTTGAGAAAACGTGAGTCATATCCTCCACATTCGTCGTGTCCCAATGCAGTGAACCACCTGGTTCCAACCCTGAGCTATGCTGGAAAGTTCCTTGCATCGAAGCAACGTTGACCGTGTTCCAAGTCGATATGTTTGCCTTGACACCACTGGAGTAAGCGAATGTGTACCATAAACTCTTGACACTGCGAGTATCCCACGTTGTCACATCTCCTTGAAAGTTCTTGGCGTATGCAAACGCCATTGTCATGTCCGAAACTTGAGATACATCCCAACCAGAGATATTCGCAGTAAAGTTAGCTGAATTGTAAAATAGCCACTGCATACTCTTCACGTTCGAGGTATCCCAGGCGCTGATGTCCTCGCCAAAGTTCTCTGATCCCAGGAACAGTGAGTCCATTGCTGTTACCAAGCCGGTATCCCAGGATTCTATGGGACCATAGACTCTCCTGGCCGTGGTACGATCTGCCATCCATAGCCGTACTGCCTTTCGTATATTGTTATTCCTGATCCTGAATTTCTGGGCGCTGCTGCCGGCTCTTGTTGCCGCAGCGTCTATGAACCTAGGGACTAGTGTGGCGCAAATGCAAAAGAACAAAGCACCCTTCATCTTCACTTTAATGAGAGTCGACATGACTCTCTTCTCGACAATGCGAAAAACCCGCTGCTGCTGCCTCCTCCTCCGCTTCACTGATGCGAAGTATTCGATACAGTGGGAGGTAGAGCAAAAGCCGTTTTCTAATTTCCTTGCATTAGTCTATGGCTTTCATATGCAGAGGGTGTTGTATTCATCGGAAAATGTGAGCAGGTCATTTGAAATCTTCCCCGTATCTTACTTTGGCTTTCGTTTTGAAAAAGCTGTAAGATTATAGTCACTAGTGATTCAATCCCGTCTTCCTCAGCTGTAAGAAAAACAGATGGGTCCAGGGTGCAGCTTTCCGCAGCTACTAGCTAGCTAGTATGCAAAGATTATAGCTGAGCATTATTTGGGGAGGTTGATGATCTATTTGAGGCGCTGTGAGGGGTTATCAGTGGCTTGCATACATAGCACAATCAAAAGAAGGCGTGACCTTCCCTTCAAGATATCATGATAGACAAAGCAGTTGATAAATGGCTGTATTGCGCCTCGAGGTGAATCAAGCGCCTTTGAGCTAAAGACGGCGGTTGCTGGTGCTTCAAAGGCTCTACCAAACTATGCAAGTGACTTGCTTCTCCTGGCTTTGGCCACCCGCTGACGGCAACTAAATTAAATTGCAGCTATGCATACATGGAGCTGGCTACAGTCTGGAGTCGGAAAAGCCAGCGAGTCCCGCATCGTACCGGTCACCTCTGGCCCTGCAGCACCCCAATGATCACAACACAGTAACACAGGCCACTCGGTCAGCTAGATGCAACAGAAAATCTCATCTAGCCAGTTGTTAGAGGTAGGAGTTTACAGCTTCAGCATGACTTGGTGGAAAAAATCATGATCGCATCAATCGCACCTACCGGCACGGGGCCTTGTACCGTATAAGGCCTCGTTTAAGATTTTGCTCTAACAGCCATTGTAGTTCCCATTCTGGTCTTTTGTGAGTTCCTTTCAGGGCATCATGCCTTTCCGGTGTTGTTATGGCTGTATTCTTGGTGTCGTCCTATCCCATTGCTTTGCCTGCAAAGCGATGCGTCCGGTACGTACCATCGGAGCCGAACAGCATGCATGCGGCATGGTCGTCTCATGGGGCATTGCGCGGGTGGGGGTTGAGTTACAATTCCATAGATGGCACCTCCTCAGCCCACACCAAGCTGTTTGTATCCTGACTAAAGGAGTTGCTCCAATGTACCGGTCGTCTAGATTCGATTCATAGTAGTACGACTCAACCCAACTCGACTCGACTCAACTCAACTCCTGCAACAATCCTGATTCAATGATTCAAACGCATTCCGTGTGGAGTTAGCCAGCCCTGAGAGACTTCTAGTAGCTAGCCAGCTAGAGTATCTCTCCCTTAGACTTGGAGGGCTCGAGTGGACGACCAACATGGCTGCTTTGGGACGTGTTTGTCCTTTCCAGGTTGCCTTCTCTCGTGCTACACGTTGCGAAGACTATGCCAGTTCTACCGGTACCGGTACCTCCCCATCATCTGAACCAATCTTCATCCAATGCCCTCTATCCCGCTGCTGGCAGGCCATCGTGGATAACCAGCATTGTTTGCTGACGTAGTATCGGTACATGTTGTCATTGGCTCTTGTTGGATCCAACGCTTGGCAGATAGTCAGTCCCACCATCTGCTCTTGGGCAAGATTGAATGGTCGTGGCCGATCGAAAGGCATCGAAGAAAATCGAATGGTGCCGAACTTGCAACCCACTCTCCGGACCACAACAGACCACCACGAAAACCGCGACACTCTGTGTAGAATTCCACTGGGCTCCGTACATCCATTGCTGTCTTTGGCTCATCAAGCAAGACCTCCTCCAACAGATCCTGTCATAAATCAAAACATCGAAACAATTCAAAGGATTGTTGTTTGCAAAACTAAAACTAACGAAGAAAGAAAAACAAAAACATGGCATGTAAGTGGAACTACTATTGTCTCCGATGACGAAGATGATGCTTGCCGGCCTTTGATGGCAACGATTGGAAGAGGAAGAATTATTCGGCGGTCATTGTCCATGGATCTTTTTCGCTTCCGTGTTTTGGTTCGTGCCTTTCCATCGAAATTCGATTGCGCTCACGCTCTCTCTTCTGTCAATTTTCTCCCTTACAGCTGTCTCAGGTGAATCTGTGGGTATCGATTTGGGTACGACGTACTCTTGTGTCGGTGTCTGGCAAAATGATCGTGTCGAGATTATTGCGAATGACCAAGGTAACCGTACTACTCCATCCTACGTGGCTTTTACGGAAACCGAACGTCTCATTGGTGATGCCGCCAAGTCGCAGGCTGCCATGAACGCTGTCAACACTGTCTTTGACGCCAAGCGTTTGATTGGACGCAAGTTCAGTGACCCCGGTGTCCAAGCTGACATGAAGCATTGGCCATTCACTGTCAAGAGCGGAACTGGTGGAACTCCCATTATTGAGGTTGAGTACAAGGGCGAAAGGAAGGATTTCAAAGCCGAAGAGATTTCCTCCATGGTTCTCGGAAAGATGAAGGAAATTGCCGAGGCGTACCTTGGAAAGGAAGTCAAGAATGCCGTGGTGACTGTCCCTGCCTATTTCAACGATAGTCAGCGTCAGGCCACCAAGGATGCCGGAGCCATTTCGGGTCTCAATGTCCTTCGTATCATTAATGAGCCCACTGCCGCTGCCATTGCCTACGGTTTGGACAAGAAGGGGGAGGAAAAGAATGTCCTTATCTTTGATTTGGGTGGTGGTACATTTGATGTGTCTTTGCTGACTATTGAAGAGGGAATCTTTGAGGTCAAGGCCACTGCTGGGGACACTCACTTGGGTGGAGAGGATTTCGATAACCGCATGGTTGACTATTTCCTCCAAGATTTCAAGCGTCGCCACCGCAAGGATATGTCTTCCAACCAGCGATCCCTGCGTCGTTTGCGTACTGCTTGCGAGCGTGCTAAGCGAACTCTCTCCTCCAGCACTCAAGCTCATATTGAGATTGATTCCCTTTTTGATGGAATTGATTTCAACTCCACCATTACTCGTGCTCGTTTCGAGGATTTGTGTATGGATTATTTCAAGAAGTGCATGGAACCATGCGAGAAGGTCCTCCGTGATGCTAAGATTGCCAAGAACCAAGTCCATGAGGTTGTCCTTGTCGGAGGAAGTACCCGAATTCCCAAGATTCAATCCATGCTTTCCGACTTTTTCAACGGCCAAGAGCCATGCAAGTCCATCAACCCCGATGAGGCTGTCGCCTACGGAGCCACTGTTCAGGCTGCCATTCTTTCCGGAGCTGACAAGAGTGAGAAGCTTTCTGAATTGTTGTTGCTGGATGTCACCCCACTTTCCCTTGGTTTGGAGACTGCCGGAGGTGTGATGACGACTCTGATCAAGCGAAACACCACCGTGCCAGCCAAGAAGACACAGACCTTCTCCACCTACGCTGATAACCAGCCCGGTGTGTTGATCCAAGTCTTTGAGGGTGAACGTTCCATGACCAAGGACAACAACTTGCTTGGAAAGTTCAACTTGGATGGAATTCCTCCCATGCCTCGTGGACAGCCCCAGATTGGTAAGTGTTGACTCGCTGCTCTTCTTTTAATTATTGTCTGTCGTTCATCTACTAACGCTCCTCCTTTGTTGCACTGAATTACAGATGTTTGCTTCGATATCGATGCCAATGGTATCCTCAACGTCTCTGCCTTGGAGAAGTCCACCGGAAAGGAGAACAAGATTACCATTACCAACGACAAGGGTCGTCTTAGCCAGGACGAAATTGAACGCATGGTTGCCGAAGCCGAGAAGTACAAGGCCGAGGATGATGCCAACAAGAACCGTATTGAAGCCAAGAACGGTCTCGAGAACTACTGCTACAGTTTGAAGTCTTCCATCAGCTCGGACGAAGTCAAGGACAAGATCCCTGCTGATGACAAGGCCAAGCTTGAGGGAGCCATTGAAGACTCTATCAAGTGGCTCGACGCTAATCCAACTGCCGAAAAGGAAGAGTACGAGGAGAAGCAAAAGTCCCTCGAAGCCATTGCTATGCCCATCCTTCAAAGCATGGCTGGTGGTGCCGGCATGCCTCCTGGTGGCATGGGTGGTATGCCGGACATGGGCGGCGCTGCCGGAGGAGCCCCTCCTGCGGACGAACCCGCTGGCGGCCCCACCATTGAGGAAATCGATTAAGCGGCGTCTTCAAATTGTGCGACAATTGATTTGACGAACGAGTTGTTTCGAGCTAGCTCGCAGAGAAATTAAAAGAATAATCCATAGTTGCGCTTGTCTTTGAATCGTCCTCCGTTACCGTAGCTAGTAGTTTGTGGTCTTTTGGTGCCTTGGCCACCAAAAGGCATCGACGATGGTTCCACCTCCTCGGATCATGTTCTTCTGAGCGTGAGACCTGGCAGCAAGGGCGGCTTGTGGTTGGAAGTTCAGGGGGAGAGTAGGCGTCACGACAAGGAAGAACTGGGGAGAGGCGGAGAGAAATACCTTCACACACCCAGAAATAGTGGGCTTGGTCTTATTGCGGTTTTGTCTGGACTCCCAGCATCACCCATTCGGCTTCTGGCTGATCCCGCTGGGATCTAGCTAGAACCTAGCCGGTCGCTGATGGAATTAAATATTTGCCAGCACGCCTCCTTCCTTGCAGACAGGACAAACATGCAATGGTAAATACCTCTGCTGTTGCTTTCGCTGGACTGCTGCAGTATTAAGCCACTGGTAGACTACGGGCTACATGTTAGTTTTCCACATGTTTTACTTGACTGGACTGGCTCATGTCACCATGCCCTGCAACTTTTTTTGCCGGCCAAAAATAATCAAGTCGTTTTGGCCAGTATCTCCTTGAATTCCTGGCCCTTAATAATGCGAAGGAGACGCATAAATCTTTCTGCATTCTTCGCATTGGAAGCAAGTCCTTGAAGAGTGATGTCGTCGGAGCTGAACCGCCATGTTTCTCACAAAACACAGAGCTTCCACATCCAAATTTTCGAAAGAGAAAGACAAAGGTAGATAACCTCCCTACAAAGATACAAGATGAACATGGATAGCAGTGTCAACGATGCCAATATGGTCTACACAGGTGACGATCCATGGTACCTCCGCACCTTGCCTGGCCGCACCGGGGACTTCATGGGTCACTTCATTCCAGCCCTTTGCTTCTTTTCTTTGGGGCTGGGGCTCCTCTTGCTAGCTCTCTTTAGAGCAAGGAATCTACCTTCTGGCAAGTCCTTTGCAGAATTGCACATTCCTGAAAGTGATCCACTCTTTTTGAAGTTCTTTGGAATGGTCAACATGGCAGGGACGACCGTTGGTATTATCTATGAAATTTACGACAAGGATCCCGGCTTTGACTCTACAGCCTTTACACACGCGTCTCTTTATACAAGCTTCTTCATTGTTGGAATATGTGCACTCTATGAATCCAAAGGGCGACTCCCATTGGATACACACCGAGCCGCATTGGTGGTGGCATGCATTGTCCAGGCCCTAATATGGTATGCTCATGGCTCCATGAAGAAGATGCCAGCAGACGGGGCACTGCACATTTACCTGAGCTACTTGAATTGGGGCAATGCAGCAGCCGTAGCTTATTCCATGCGATACAACGACAGTGTGATTGCCTTCTTGGCCGGGTGGGCGTTTCTGCTCTTGCAGGGGTTGTGGATCTTCGTTGCTGGCTTGTACGAGTGCTGTGTTGATCTGCACATGCATGATGTTGCCGCCATTCTGGCAATGTTGTGCTTGGTGACTCTCTTGTCGATTATTCTAGCAGTTGTCCACCTGGGGCCAAAGCCATCCGACCAACAACTTGCAAAGTTTCGAGGGAATTTCAGCATCTTGAACTCATCCGACGGTGACGGTGACTATGATGTTGCTGTGGGGACAAAGGCTACGGTGTAGTGGTATATTTTTGCTGGAAAGTAGTGACTGTATCGAGTAGTGTTGCGCAGCACAGTGCACAAGAGATCGTGGCACAGCTTGCGCAAGGTGGACGGCTGCTGTCGTTGCTGATGCAACCTTTGAAGGCGGGGAACGCTGCACCGGTAGAAGAGGCGAGATAATCAAGACCATACATAATAATAGATCTAGCTGCATCAATCAGAACCTTGAGATGGATCTTATTCTGCTACGCTTAGCCGAGTTGTCAAGCCTGGGACAGCTTCTTGCAAGTTCTGTCTCGCACCTTTTGCAGGGTTTTCACCCACCAAGAGGGCCACTGCCAGCTAGCTACTAGTAGCTACGGGTGTTAGCCCAGCAGGTCTGGAGCATTTGGCTTTGGGGGTGAACGCCTTTAGAATTGAATCCAGCTAGCAGCTGGGGTGCATAGAACTACTCGTACTCTACAATACCCCAACATCATCAGACAAGTTGACAGTTGACACTCAGGGACGCTGTGAGTGACAATCGAGTCGAGTCGAGTGACAAGTCCCAGTCCTCATCTGAAAACGAATGGACTGACTACTCATGACTAAATCTCAGTTACATCATCGTCCGTGGCTGGATCCAGTACGACAACGTTACAAGAGCCCAACTACTTGTTGTTGGTTGTGTCTCCTGATCTCCCACGAGTACTAGTAGGTTAGAGCTTTGCGTTTGTATTGTAGTTATCGAGCGATGCTGGCCACTACTTCAACCATCAAGGCGGCCAATAGCCGTCTGAGTCTGCTGCAACGAACCTGCAGGCGGGCTCTGTCAAATGCCGATGACGGCGGTATCTACAAGCCAACTCTGGTAAACCGCCGAGAGAATGAAAGTGGAATTGGTGGAAGAGGATCTGATGCCGGCCTGAAGGTGGCTGTGTTTGGTGCCTCTGGATTCCTGGGTCCTTATGTGTGCACTGAATTAGGTACGTGGGATAGAGGCGCTTGTTCGGGTTGAATCGAATCTTTTGTAGTCTAGTTGGATAGCGTCAGTGATGATCGATGGTGCATCCTGTGCTGCATCAGTGATCGGTGCAAGATCGGCCAAAAGCTAGAGCGTCCCATCTCGAAGATATCAACTCGCTGTTTTATCCTTGTGCGCAAGACAGATGTCTGGTGGAAATCGAATTTCTTCTGCCTGGGTATCTCAATACTTTCGTTTTCCGCATACGCAATTCGTTCCTATTATAATCAGGCTCGAACGGGTACATGGCATACCTGGCAAACCGTGGATGTGAGTTGGAGATGCGCCACCTAAAGCCCATGTTCGAATTGGGACGAACTCGGTTTGTCTTGTACAGCCCCCGCGATGTCGAGTCCATGAAGGAAGTGATTGCCGATGCCGATGTGGTCATCAACATGATTGGCAAATTCTACGAGACATGGCAGCCCGTGCAAATTGACAAATTCCCCTACGTTGGAAGTCAAACCAATTTTACGTTTGAGGATGCCAATGTCACCATCCCAAGGCAAATTGCAGAAATCTGTAAGGAATTGCAAGTGGACCATCTCATTCATCTCTCTTCGGCCGCGGCATCCCCCGACTCGGGATCAGAATGGGCCAAGACCAAATACGAAGGAGAACTTGCCATCAAGGAAGCTTTCCCATGGGCAACAATTATCCGTCCCACTCAACTGTATGGAGTGGAGGATCGGTTGTTCAATTGGTTCCCCACCATGGGACAAATTTATCGATGCTATCCGCTCATCAACAATGGCGAGGCTTTGACGCAACCTGTCTTTGTGGGCGACGTCGCCAAGACCATTCTACGTGTGGCTTCGGCTGCCGAGCGATACGAGGGAAAGACCATTGACTGCTTTGGTCCCAGTGATTATTCCTACCGTGAACTCGCCGAGTTCGTCAATGACATTACAGAACGAAACTATCCGATTGTCAGCGTGCCCAAGGAAGTGGCCTCACGACTTGCGGATTTGTTGCAATACAATCGGGTCGGATCGGACAAGCCCATGATCACCCCCGACTTGGTAGAGCTTTGGAGTGAGAACTACTTGCCCCGAATGACCGCAGAAGAATATGCAGCACAACCGGACGATGCGGACAAGATCTTGACCATGGCCGATCTCGGAATCACAGCAACTCCAGTCGAGAAGGTGGCATTCAGCTACTTGCACCGCTTCCGCCTTGGTGGTCACTTTGGACGTGTTGATGGATACCGCTAGAGAAAGAGTCTATTTCTGAAATTATGGTGGCAGTGGTCACTGCCAACGGTTGCTTCCTTCGAAATGTGCCTTGATGATCGAGAACAAGTGGTTCTTTTTTGTCTAATCGTTGATTATTATTCTATAGTATTTAGCTTGCGTGTTTTGACAGCACCGATACTGGTACCGGTATCCCTGGCTGTGGCATGTAGAAAAGTAGCTGACTGTTTGTCAGCAGCACCCGCATTTAATTAATTGGCGAGAACAGGTGCATGTTTGTAGCGGCGAGACAACTGTAGTAAAATTAATTACTTTGATCTGCATTACAGGTCGATAATTTCTGGGAAATCAGTGATGACATCAATCTTTGTCAACACCTCACTTCGTTCACTGGGGCACCAGAAAATTTCCACAGCATTCAAGCAGTCACCTTCGTCAACCATGCAATCACTGGCAATGCTAGCCAAAACTTCCTTTGTCTCTGTGATACTGTAGCCTGCACGGTTGAACCTGTAAATAAAAAGCACGTACCAATGAATCACATGGGTGAGATATCAGACTCAACCATACCACCGGGCATTGTCCCTTGGTAGCCTTTTCCTCGAAGCTCAATACTTACACGGTAGAATCTCCTTCAATTTCCACAACCAAACTTACCACCACAAGAGTGGCGCCTCCACCTGTCTCGGCACTGGTGCCATCAGGCACATATTCCTAGTATGATTGAATGAAGTAAATGCGCGCCATGTTAGTTGCAATAGTTTCAATCACAGGGACCCAACCTATGCGTCGTTTGTGTACCTTTTCGAACTTGGCAGCTTCTCGGTTGGCAAAATCGTTGAATTTGCTCTCCGCTTTTCCAGAATCGTCCTGACCATACCATTCACTGACTCCGGCGGCACCAACCCATTCATCCGATTTTCGCATCAGAGCCAAGCAAATTGCATTGGTCAGCTCCGGAAGACTCTTGTCGTCATTGGCTTCTCGCTCCAAGATACCAAAAATGGAGTCGGGACCTCGTGTAGGGCTGGTCAAGGCCACTTGCACTTTTCCGACCGTGATTCCTTTTCCAAGGATACCTTCTTCTTCAAAGATTTTATCAAACAGATTCAGTTGGGTTGTGGATTGTCGTGGAGGCGAAACCAAGCCAAATCGTCTTGTCGTCGGTGCTTGGGTCGTTTGCCAGGCCAATGTTTGACCGGCAAAAAGGGAGAGAATACTGGCGGCGGTGACCAAAACGCTCATGGTGATTTTTTTCCCTGCGTCTTACAAACTCGTTAGACCTCTTCGGAAGATATCAAAGACAATGGCTGTCAGACAACCAGTAGAGGAATGGCTTTGAGAAGAGTGCCATCGTCGCATGATCATTTCGAGTGATGTCAGGTGCAAAAGATACACAATGGAGGCAACACAAAAATGTGACTGACGTCACAGCCCTCGGAGTGGTTATGGTACTTGGGAGCCCGCCGGCGCCTGGACGTTGTTGATGAGGTAAGAACGGTCACAAAATCCCTGGAAACCGGAACCACCGAACACACACTCGAGGACGATCACTTCTTTGAAAACGACATCGAAGGGAAGAAGTACCTTGTATCTGTCTTGTACTTTGTAGGTGGTGGGCAGATAGAACAATGACAGTCGACGTAGCATCGGATCATCCGAGCCGTAAGCGCTCAGTGTTTGCCAATCGGAGAGATACCGGTATGAGGAGGAAGGCGCCTCCTTCAGCAACGACTCGATCAGTTGGAGGACCAACGAAAAGTTTTTCCAAGACGCGTCCTCCTCCAAACAAACTATCCATGTTTCGCTCTCCTTCTTTTTCATCTGGAAGGCCCAACGCCATAACACCAGAGACAATGCTACGGCGTCAACATTCGGAGCCTCTCTTTGCGGATACCAAAAGTGTCACAAGCTGCGACACCAGAGCCACTGCCGCAACCATCCATGTTGTCACACCAACCAACTCCGAACAAAGCACTATGGATCTTACTCCCCTTCAGTCAGAAATCACTTCCTTGCGTAAAAGGCTGAGTGCGGCTCAATCCTTGAACAAGCGGAGTGAACTTTTGCTAGGCCAAGTCAGGGTCTTGGAAGAGGAAAGTCAGCGCAAAGATGAACGGCTACGAGTTCTGAATGACAAATTGCACGATATTCAGCGGGGTCTTTCTCACATTGATGACGAACGAGCATCACTGCAACAGCTTGCCCAGAAACTAGAAGCCGAGAAGCGAAAGATACGACAACAATTGGAGTTGAGAGATACCGAAGTCTTGACTTTGGTGAAGCGTTGTGCTGCGCAGGAAGAGAAAGTCAAGGAGTCGACTCTATTACGCCGCAAGAACGCAGTGCTTGAGGGGAAAATGAACGAGTATAAGGCTGCGCTGGCAGAAAAAGAAACTGAACAAACCAACTTGGACGAAGCAGAAAGTGCACTTCGTGCATGTCAGCAGCGATTGGAGCATACCAAACGAGATCACGACGCCTTGGCAGGGACCCTACAAAGCTGCTTGGCAAACATCAAAAAGCTGACAATCGAGAAGGAAGACTGGGAAGACGAACGGCGCCGGCTATTGAACCGAGCAGAGGTTGAAATTGAAAAGGAACGACTGCAACACTTGGCAGAAATGAATGAAATGAAAGTGAACCTCCAAAGTAGCCAGGACAAGATTGAGAAACTCGAGGAGTTCATGAAAGATAAATCCATGTCCAACCACATGCTTCGAAAGACAAACAGTGAGCTTGCCAAATGGAAAACGCAAAGTACTGTCAAGTTGGAAGAATATGAAAAACAGATTAATGAATTGATGCAAGAGACCTTGGAAAAGCAACAGGAGGTCTTGGATATGATGCACAGCAAGAATGGCTGGAGTTCCAAGGTCAAGGAAAAGGAAGAGGTCATTGCTTCGCTTCAAAAGACAAACAACGAGCTATCCAAATGGAATACTCAGAGTACCGTCAAGTTGGAAGAATACGAAAGGCAGATCAATGAGTTGATGCAAGAAAGCAAGGAAAAGCAAGAGGAGATCTTGGATTTGACATACAGTAAGAATGGCTGGAGTTCCAAGGTCACAGAGAAGGAAGAAATCATCGCTTCGTTACGAAATGAACTATCCGACCTCATGAGCAAAACAATGTCGCTATCCGAGAGTGTTGACGTCTTGAAAGAAGAGAACAAAGGTAAGGCTGCAAATTCAGTAGGGTAAATGGTCGGTTGTCGTAGTGGTATCCATCCCTTCGTTTTCTAACCTGTTGCCAAACACCACTTCTAACGACAAAGACTTGCAATCGGAAGTGGAAGGGCTACGAGCGAGGGCCCAATCGTTTGATGCATGGGAAGAAGAACGGGATGCTATGAACCATTGTATGACGGTGACCCAAGATCAGATTCAGGAGCTCATGGAAGAAGTCGTCACCCTGCAACTTGAAAACGAAGAACTCGAGGACGAGAAGCTGGAGCTTCAGGAAGAGCTCAAAGCTTCGGTGGGATCACAAAACGACATTCAGAATCTCGAGAAGCACATATCCGACAAAGAATCAAACTGGTCGTGGCAGGAAAACAGCCTTCGAGCCAAAATTAGCTCATTAGAAGCCAAGAAGCAGGTGCTACAGGAAGGCAACGACGCGAATTCCAGGGATGCACAAGAAACCATTCGGAAGCTCGAGTGGACCGTCGCTTCTCGAACCAAAGATGCGGTTTCTCTGCAGAAGGAACTAGAGGCGGCAAGAGAGACTGAAGCAGATCATGTGAATCAAATCAAGTCTCTAGAAAGTAATCTCTCGGACACAATGATACAACACGATCAAACTCGCGCAGAAGCAGAAGAGCTTCGAGCCAAGAACAATGGCATGGAAAAAGAGGTGACCTTTGCGAAGGAGGCGTTGAAGCTATCAGAAGCAACAATCGAAACGCTACAAAGCGCCATTGACGAGAAGGAGGCAGAGCTAGCCGCTGTACGCAATTCGTTGACATCGACCAGCGACAAACTGACAAATGTGACATCCAACAGCGAGTCGCGAGATGCGGAGGTGGAGACGCTGAGACAGAAATTGATGGGGTATACTGCAAAAGCTAGCATGACGGACAAGCAGCTAGAGGAGGCCGATGTAAGGATCGCACAAATCTTGGGTGAGCTTCGTACAGCAAACACAGAAAAGTCGGAAGCCATTGAAGCAAAAGCCCTACTCGAAGCTGACTTACAAGTGACCAGCAGATACGTAGAAGACAGCGCGGCAAGCAACGATACGCTTAGGCAAGAGCTTCAGGATTCCAGGGCCTCAATAGCCAATCTTGAAGCGAAGCTGGAAAAGAGTAGCGCCAACGAAAGCTTGTTAAGGACGGCTCTTGACGAGTCTGAGCGCGAGATTGCTGAATTGAAAACCTTGATCCCTGATCTAGAATCCAAGCTGGCCGAAGGCGCAGAGCAAGAACAGAACCTGATCGAGCTGCAGGGTGCGCTTGACGAATCCCAGAGTGAAATCGAAGAATGCAGGAACTTGATACTGGATCTAGAATCTCGGCTTGTCGAACGAGAAAGGGAGAACGAAAAGGGACAAGGGGTTCTTAGGACCGCTCTTGACGAGTCCCAGCGTGAAGTCAAAGAATGCAAGAAATCTATCACGGACCTCAAATTGCTGCTGCAGAAGCAAGGGGCCGACATGGAACAATCAACTCGAGATGAGCTGAAGTCCCTTCATGACTCTGTGTCCGACGGGCGCAAAACAATTGCACGGCATCAAGAGGAATTGGAAACGCTAAGGCTGGCTCTGAAGAGGGCGCACACAGATCTTGTACTTAAGGATGATGAGATTCGAGATCTAAAGATGATCGACCTCGTCGACCTCCAGGAAGAGCTCTCGTCGACAAGTGAAAAATTAACTGCAAAAGAGTCCGAGAATAACGACCTCATTGGCATGCTCGAAACGCTCGGGGTGCAGCAGCTCGAACGCGAGCTCGCAGTTGCAGAGGAGGTGAACACTTTGAAAACAACAATCGCATCACTTAAGAAGGAGTACCATCAATCCGGCCAAGGAGCCATCGAACTCAAATCCACCAACGTTGCGCTGCAGAGACGTAACACTTTGCTGGAAAAGCAAGTTCAAAGCGTGACAGCAGAAAAAGATCTAGTGTTGGAGAGAGAAACTGCCTTGGAGAAGTCGAACGCTGAGTTGGAAGCCACCCTATCTGAACGGACGTCTTTACTAGGAGAAATGGTGGAGGTGAACAAAAAATTGCAGAAAAGTGTCGATGAGCAGTCCAGCGCTAAAGAAGAACAGCTGAAATTGCAAGAAGAGCGAGACGACCTTGCGGAGGCCCTTTGTCAGGAGCAGAGCATTCGCGAGGTTATGGAAGCTGAAGTATCGACTGTTAACGCTCAAGTAGCATCGATGAAGGCCCAGATGAAAGAGACCAACGACCTGATGGCTGAAAAAAATGCGCTCGCGGACAAGGTAAAGCGCCAGGAAAATTTTCTGAAGAAGAAGATCCAAAAGGAAAAAGTGCTGCGAGATCGAGCGACGACGTCTGCAAAGAACATTGTGACCCCGTTACAACTTGCCTCTGCACGAAACAAAGCTCGTACCAGCACGGTTGTTCGGTCATCCACAGCGTTTGACGAAGCAGCTACTGAAAACGACGACCTCAATTGGTCAGCCATCCTCGAAGAGGAGCTGGGAGACTAACGGGGAGGTCGAGTGATGCCTTGGTCACCGGGTTGCTTACTATTTTAAAGAGGGTACACACTTTGAAGTTATTCATACTAATAAATAATAGAGAATACACTATTGCATGTTAGAAACGTTTGTCATGGTGTTCATTGATGTTTGTATCATACAGGTACCTGTAGAGGCTAGAGTATTCAAGGGGTTTCCCTGACACCGGAACGCACTCGAGCTAGTTTTATCCATTTGCTGTCCCTGATGCCCACGGATCAATGGACCGGCATACAATGCTTGCTTAATTCCTGATCCCATTCCCATCCCAATGGTTCGTCATCCAATGCAGAAACCCAGCCACTCATTGTTGGCTGGTGGAGGTGCAGCCTCTCTGCCATTGCATCTGAGACTGAGTTCGTGGCGGGTTGCAGCCTTTGTAAGTCGCCCCGCGACAGATTCCCGTTTTCCTTAAGTGCAGCAAGGCGAACGTAGCGGTTTGTTTTAGCGCACTTTTGCTCGATGATCCGTATCTTTTTCATTTTTCATTCCGCAGCCAGGACGGTTCATCAATTGCAGAGGAAGAACAATCAGAGGTACATGTTACAGTGAGCCGAAAGGTTAATGCACCACGATGAAGGAGCCGTACGAGGATAGACTACAGCGTGCTAAGAATAAGCTCAATCAGGAGCGGGCAAGACGCAAGAACCGAGAAGCGGTGCGCGATGATGCCAGCTATTCCAGCGAACGAAGCAAATCATCGAGGACCAGCTTTGCTAGCGAGTTCAGTCGCAGCTCTTCCAAGTTCATGGAAAAAAGCAAGGTTCCAAGGTCTGAATGGAGAAACAAAGCAAGAGCTGTTATTGAAAGAGGAAAGAATCTAAAAGATCAAGAGTTAGAATTGCTTCGTGATGCTCACAACTCGGGAAGCGGTCGCACCCCTCAGGAGCGTGAGGCGCAGATCGATTCTCTCGTTGAACGCAATGCTTGTCTTAACGAAAGGGAGCGCATGCTAAAGGTAGAAAGTGAACTGCTTGATGCGGCAGAAGCGGCAGCAAAGGCAGACGATTTGGAACGGGCAGAATCATACCTCGGCAAGGACATTGAAGACCACGACAATGATACCGAAGAAGACGAATCGTTGCACTCGGATTCTCGTGTCACCGCCTCTCGCACAGCAGACAATAGAGCCAAAAGAATCCGGGAAAACGAAGCCGATGATCTTAATCGTTCGTTTCAGGCCGCAAAATCTGTGTGGCTCGGGAGGTGCAAAACGGATTCCAAGCCCGCGACAGAGCACCCCACTCCAGTGAAGACAAACTCCTTCCACAGGCCAGCAACAGCCGAAAAGAGCCATGCATCCAAAAACAAAGACAAACGCACTGCCAAAGATGGCAAAGAAAGGATCACACTGGAAAATCTGATTCTCATTAGCGACATTGGGAATGTGGACAAAAAGATGAATAACAACACTCCTGAATCACCAGCTTCGGTCAAGTCCGGTAAATCAACAAGATCTGCCAGATCAACGAAATCAGCCAAACCAGAGCGCGTGAGTAACAGTAGAGGAAAACCCGTTGGTCACAAGGTTGTTGTGTATCCCGATTCACCAGATTCCGCAGCCAAGTCGGAACAAAACTTTGGTGATAATGGGAAAGTAACGAAGCATAAGGTTGTCGCCCACCCTTCTTCACCAGAATCTCCGCCTGCCAGAGGCATTAAGACAAAGCACAGTGTTGTAGCGTATCCATCATCACCGGAATCAGTCGGCTCGGATTACAAAGCCAGGGCCAAAGAAACCAATAGCTTGTGGAGCAAGTCCTTCAGGGAAGACGAAACTCGAGATGAAAACGAGAACGCAGGCATCAAACGAAACGATAGGCGGAACAGCCACAGTAGCCATCGTCAGAAATTGGTTGATCCCCTTGCATCCTTCGAGAGAGACCGCGAAGAGGAAGAACCAACACCCAAGAAATCGTACCGTGTTCAGTCAGCATCTGTCTCTGTGTCGAGTCAGATTAGCAAGTTTTCTTCCCAACGCAATTCAAGCAGCAACTGCAAGGAAAAAGCTGAAAACGAAGAGAACGGGAAGAACCATTCCTATCGTGTCCATTCTTCCTCTGCCTCTGTGTCTAGTCAAAGGAGCAAGTATGCATCGCACCGAAATCACGATGATCATGGCTCGTCTGCTTCTGTGGCAAGTCAAAGGAGCAAGCATTCTTCCCACCAAGACCGCGAAGAGCACGGTCCGTCTTCGTCGGCCACGATATCGAGCCAAAGAAGCAAATATTCTTCAGATCGTGGTCCGACAACCTCCTGTGCCTCCGTCTCGAGTAAAAACAGCAAGTACTCTGCAGGCAACAACAAACACGAAGATCGTGGTCCATCATCCTCCACTTCGGTCGCAAGTCGTCGAAGCAAGCATTCTCATCGAGATGATGCCCAAGAAGACGACGAGGAAGATATTGCACGTTCGTCCAGATCTGTAACAAGTCAAAGAAGCAAATACTCATCACGGCATGATACTGCATCTCATCTGGATGATGAAGATGAAATTGCTCCTTCCTCCAGATCTGTGACGAGTCAAAGAAGCAAACACTCTTCCCACCATGATTCTTCCTCTGGTCGAGATGATGAAGAAAGAATGGCTCCTTCCTCCAGATCGGTTAGAAGTCAAAGAAGCAAGCACTCTTCTTCCTCTCATCAGGATGATGAAGAAAGAATTGCTCCTTCCTCCAGATCAGTTACAAGTCAAAGAAGCAAGCACTCTTCTTCCTCTCATCAGGATGATGAAGAAAGAACTGCTCCTTCCTCCAGGTCAGTGACAAGCCAAAGAAGCAAATACTCTTCCCACCATGATTCTTCCAATGATCGAGATGATGGAGACGAAATCGCTCCTTCCTCCAGATCAGTTACAAGCCAAAGAAGCAAATACTCTTCCCACCATGATTCTTCCTATCATCGAGACGATGAAGACGAAATCGCTCCTTCCTCCAGATCAGTGACAAGCCAAAGAAGCAAATACTCTTCCCACCATGATTCTTCCTCTCGCCGAGATAATGAAGACGAAATTGCTCCTTCTTCCAGATCAGTGACAAGCCAAAGAAGCAAATACTCTTCCCACCGTAATTCTTCCAATGCATCAGTCTCGAGCCAGCGAAGCAAACGCTCTTCACGCCGTAGCAACCGCGATGATCGCGTTCCATCCTCCGGTGCATCCGTCTCTAGCCACAGGAGCAGACGATCTCGTTGTTCCCGCCATCATGAAGAAGTCCTTGAGGATCCAGATGATCACGAAGATGAATTCGATGATTGCATGCCGCCTTCGGAATTGACGATACCTTTGATCATTGCAGATCTGGAAAACACTGAAAACCAACCTCCAAGGAAACGAGAGCTGTCTTATCGCGAAAAGAGTGCCATGTTGGCCTCCATGGAAAACAACCCGGTAGAGGCTGTAGAAAGTGGAATCGACGAGGAACCGTCCCTGGTAGCGGGACGAAACGTTTTCCACCAGCTTGGTCAAAAAGCAAAGAATCACAAGCGCCTTCAGAGCCCTTACCTGTCTAGTAATAAAAAGTTCGGTGCTGAAACCCAATCACAGCCGGCTGCTGTTGGCTTGAAGGAGCAAAAGAATCTCTACAACAATGCAAAGTCAGAAAGAAAGTTTGGCACCTCTGCCAACAACACACAAGTCCATCAGGAGTCCGAGAGCTTCAAACTCAACAACCTAGCGAACGAAAACAAGGAATTGCGGGCCCGCCTAGAGAAAGAACGTACACGTCGATCCGAGTTGGACGACAAGACAACAAACCTTCAACTCGAAGTACACAAGAAAGGACAAGAAATCTCTCAACTCAAGATGAAAAAGGATGTATCAGCCACCCATAAAGAGCAGCTTTACAAGATGGAAGATGCTCTGCATGAAACCAACCGTCATTTGGTCGTGGTGGTGGATGAAAATGTCAAGCTCCGCGAGGAAGTGGAAGAAGAACGGGCACGCCGTTGTCGCTTGGAGTCCCAATCGAAGCAAACTCAGACCAAACTCAAAAGGAGATCTGATGAAGTCGTGGCATTGGCAAAGGAATTGAAGAAGAAAGAAGACAGATTCAATGAATCTCTGATGGAAGAACGTCGCCTTCGAGAGGTAGCAGAGAAGCAACTAGCATCTGCTTGTCTTCACATCAACAACTCGGAGAAGGAACGAAATGAAGAGATGGAGGAGCTCTACCGACAAAACGAAGAGCTAAGGCATACAGTAGAGCGATTGGAAGCTTATCTCCAGAAGAAATTGGTGAAGGAGCGTAAAAACAACGCCCAGATGCGCAGACGGAGTGGCGAATCCCAGCAAGGGGTTATCAACAAAAAACCAACCTGGACATCAACTGTTTCAGAAATCACCACTGACTTCGAATATAATGAATTGAACAACAGCCAGATGGGTGAGATCTAACTAAGTAATGGCGCCCTCCGGTCCGGCCAGGCCAACTATGCGAACCGTTGCCAAAACAGAACGAAGTGGCAATGCACAGTGGAGAGAAAGGTAAGATAAGCGTTCCAATCGCCCAAGAGAGAACTGCATAATCTTTAGACGTTAATTGGTAGCATAAAAACCAACTGGATTGAAAGCGGAGCGGTCTGCTTTGCAATCTTTCTTCCTTCTCGCATATCATGCTTTTCCTTAACTCCGACTACTTGGAAGGAGCGGTGTAGGTTGAGCCACCGGACCCATTGTTGTAGTAGGTTGAACCATTGTCATTTGAGTAATAGTAGGATCCGTTGCTGTTGGAGTCTGTACATGACGATGAGAAAGACAACAGTGAGAGAGATGCTGGTTGCTCACAATCGCTTTCCGCCATCACAATACCGGTAGCACTTACAGTGATACGAGCCTCCGCCATTCGAGTTGGTGCCACCGGGAGTGTTGTAGTGGTTTCCCTGGCTGTTGGTTCCTGAACTAGGCATGATATCGAGGGATGAGCAAAGAGAGGTCTTCAAGTCTTTCCAGTCAGAAAATAAATGAGTTTATGATGGAAGCAGGCGAAGAAGTGAAGTTCAGATCCAAAACCAAAAGATCTTGTCTATCTCCAGCGTTCTCGATATTACCGCTGCGTAACTAATGTAACAGGTATTTCAATCGTTAGTAAAGAAGCTTGCTGGGGGACCTATCTTCTATCTTTCGATCCGATCTAGAATTTGATGCCAATGTACGCGGTGCTTTGAAGGCAGAAGGTCAGGCGCGCTGGCATTGGATGAATGAAGGGGGGATTAGAGTAGGGAAATTATCCACGGAAGCCAGCCGGGGCCAGGCTTAAGCAAAGAACACAGGACTAGGTTCTGTGGGATCAGGGGCAAGAAATTGAGGACCAGTATGGGGGCCAAATGGTTTGGCTTTGGATACATGGCCAATACTCACTGTCGCCCCGCCCAAAAATTTTCTCAACTCTAGCAACTTGAGAAGTCATGACTCCAATGTGCTTTCTTCGTTCCAGAATGTTGATTCTGCTGGAGCGCTCTTTTGCTTGATGCGTCGCGGCGGCCTGCCTCTGCTGTTGTTTTCTGATTCTGGTACTGGTATTTGTGCAGCCAAAATTGAAGCAGTCGTGACCGAATGAGTGCTGGGTGCAATTGGATCGTTTTGCATTTGCTGGCGGTGGTGATCGTGGCTCTGGCTCTCGTCGTTTCGCTCCTTGAGGTCAGGAGCACTGGCATTGGAGGCTATACTCCACTGCCGATGCAAGGAGGGTCTCTTCCCAACCCCTTTGTCGGAATCAATTTCTTCTTTCCAGAATGAGGAATTTGCCGGAGCGCTTGATTGCTTCTTGCGGCGTGCCTTCCCACCTGCTTCGACGACAGCGGCTTTCCTCCCAGCCCAGAAAGATCCAAATGACGTTGCAATTGAGGTAGATCCCGAACTCTTTTGCTTTTGTCGACGGGGGCGCTCTTCCGCATGCTTCGATTGACAGCCGAGTGCCTTTTGAACCCTTGTGCCAATCTGAGACAAGTACATCCTACCTTCAGTCTCCTTTAGCTGGCCGTTCTGAACGGCTCTGGTCACGTACAATTCCACCTTGTGCAAGAGCATTGAGACCATGTAATGACACCGAATCACGTAGAAATCATCTGCTGAGACTCCGGTTGCAAGCCAATCTTCTGCCTGCTGGACCTGAGCTTTGCTCTCATCAAGAACTGTATGTATCGCATCTTCGAGGTGAACCGCCATTAGGCCATCTGATGCTTGGTGCAAGTCAGTGCCCTGAAGGTAGCCCATCAGCTCCTTCTCTGCACGTCTGTGAGCTTCCACAAAGACTATCGCCCGTACAACTCGATTCCAAAGCTTTTCGTGGGCATAGACCGCGCGATGATCTTGTATTTGTTTCCCACGAGCAGTGTTGATAGTGTTCTTGCACCACCTGACAAAGTGTTGAAAATATATCTCTGCGCCTTTGCTGTGACCAGCGAAGCTGTTGCAATATGACCAATCTTGGAGTGGGCTGTCTCCAGCTGAACAGTTCTTGGCTGCAAAGACAACACTCTGGTGCAAGGTTTCGTAGGTGAATCCATTGTCATCACGGCAGCCACCCTGCAGGATTTCAGCCTGATATGCAGCGTCTAGCAGTTTGAGGAAGGTTGAACGAACTTCTTTCTTGATTTGTTCTGGACAATCAGGAATGCCGTAGCTGTTGGGTTTCAAAGAATTGTCGACTGTGGCTCGCATGGTTTGTGTGACGGCCTCCTCCATTTCCTCATACGCCCTGATTTGGCTGCTTTGGCGTCGGTGTTTAAATTCCCCTTGCAAGCCAGATTGTATCTCATCTTCCAAATTGTCCAGGTACTCTTGATCGACTCCTCCAAGGAATGGCAAGTGATCTTGAACCATCTGGAAAGGCACATTCTTGAAGCGTGGTTGTCGTTTCCTTAGTTTTTGAAAGGCATGCAAGATGAAGTCTCGGGTTGAAATCTCAAACAGTTTCAACACTTGTTTTCTGGACGCTTTGGGAGGCGTCAACCCGAGTTTTTGTAGGACCCATTCTGCAAGTGTTCCATTGACGAGCAAAGTTAGGAAGGATACACCACCCGCTAGGCCGACCACAGTCGATGTAACCGCCCTACTGCTTTCGTCTGTGGTCTCTTGTCTGACGGTTCGATCCAAGGACAAGGCAAGGGCGATTCCGACTGCACCTCGCAATCCAGCAAAGGAGAGAAACACCATTTCTTTCCAATTCGTCGACATTCCCAGCCGCTTGAGAAGTGGGTAAAACAGTGTCACCTGAACCCCTCGGATGAGCATGACAAAAGTGTACAATAGCAAGAGGCTCATCCATTCCGTTGCAGTAAAGCTTGCTCGTTCGTCGCTGTTGGCAATGACTTCTCCGAATACAGTCCCTCCCAAGGTGAACAGGAGCGTGTTGAGCAGATGTTCCAAGAGTTTTAGGTAGGTGTCCATCAATTCGGGATCTGCCAAGAGACGTGAACCACCAAGAGCTTTGGTGATGACTCCGCAAACCACGCAGGCAATGACTCCAGACATGCCACAAACCTGTTCGGACACATAATAGGACATGTACGCAGTGGACACAGCAGCCGCAACCTGCACCACACCATTTTCTTTGTCAAGCCTACGATCCAATTCGTAGAGTAGCAGCAAAAGGCCCATCCCAAAGCAGAATCCCACTGCCACTCCGCCCAAGGACATGCGGACAAACGTAAGGACCCCTTGTCCAAAGGTCACAGTGGTATCATTCAATCCCAGCCCGGCCAAGAATTGGGTCGAAAAGATAACATAAAAGACCACGGCTGCCCCATCATTGAGCATGGATTCTCCACCAATGTGCATTTGCAGACGTGGTGGGGCATCTGCTTGCTTCAAGACTGCAGCCACAGCGACAGGATCTGTGGATGCCAATATACTGCCCAAAGTCAACCCCAAACTCCATGTGAATTCATCATAATACGCAGACGTCGATGCAGAGGGCAACACGTACACCACAACAAGTGCCGTCAGAAAGGTTCCCAATAAGACCATGGGAAACGCCAATACCAGCAGCTGTGGAAAACATCGACGGAAGGTAAACAAGTCGATATCAATGGCATCTCGAAAGATCAGCCCTGGCAAAAAGACTAGCAGCAACAATTGGGAGTCGATGTCACTCCAGATCCGAATACTATTGTGAAACTGAGGCAGTGGACTCTCCAGGCGAAAGGCTGAGATGCCCATAATCATCCCGATCACAAACATGACGGCGGCATAGGGAATGGGCAGTTCATAGTGGTGTAACAGGAAGAAAGTGACCACTCCCAGAATTTGGACAACCCAAGGGTAGACCAACGCATGCTGTGGCTCGCTCGTGTAATAAGAGCTGCTGCTGCTGCTAATGTTGGTCGATCTGTACTGGTACTCATCTTCGGCGTAGTACAAAGTTTCGTTGGCGTCGTCAAAATCCACAAATGTCCCGTTGGTGTCAGCTCCGCCGCAATGCGATAGTGACAAGAACAGTGTAATTTGTAGAAGAAAAGAAGCCCAGTGTGGCGAAGAGATTATTGATGAGCAAACCGTTGAGCAGCGCTTCATTGTAGGCGGAATAGCGCCCCGCCGTCAACTCTAGTTAGTTGGTCAATCTTATGAATCGAATCTATTTGGGGTGCGATGGCGGGTGATGGGGGGTGATGGGTGAGAGTTTCGATAGAAAAGTGAGAGCGGAATGGAAGGAGTGCCAGTCGGTGCGGACTTCATCACTGTGACGTTGCCAGGCAAGCACGAATGGGGCGGGAGGACGTCATCGAACTATTAAATCCGCTACGATTATGGCACCAGGTACGATGGCCACAATGAAAAAGTTGCTTCCTCTTTCCACAGTTGCTTCCAGATACCGCTAGATATTACCGCACTGCAGAGTAGCCCCGGCCAAACGTTGTGTGGGATCTGAAGGGAAGTGCTGCCCATCAGAAAGGGCAGATCCAATGAACGAGAGGTGGCTCTCTCGACTCGACTCTGACTCACTCCAGCAGCTACCGTACGACGATGTGCCTGGAGGAGGCTTCTAGCTGGCTACTAGTGCATGATGTACATGTAGTATGGTGGCCAGCAGAACTATCCACATTTGGTATCTTATTCAGCAAGGCGAATGTGCGATCCCTACCGTATGGAATGACTCGACTTGACTCGACTCAATCCGAGTTCAGAGGAGCTGGAGACTATGCCATACTGTACAGAGTGGCAGTCAATTAAGATGTGCAAAGTACCTGTGGTACTGGCAAGTCAGGGAGAAGTTTCGCCCTGTGATGCACACAGAGATGTTTTCCAGCTCGTTCGTTCCACCACTCCTCTAATCGGAAGGAGATCCCTTTCCATTCAGAGATGCAATCTATTGTGGCTCAAGCCAGTAGCGTATAGCTGGCACGTTCCTAGTCCCAAACGACACAGCCGTTGCTTCTGTCTCTTCGTCGGCTTCTCCGAGTGGTGGTGCGTTGCATGCATTCACGATCGTGGAAGCACGCAACCGAAGGACGTCGAACGCGCCTTGAGAAACTTGTTCACAATCCAATCAAGACATCAGCTCATTCGATATATCAGAAGTAAGTTTGTATTTCCTCTAGACTATCACCATTGCACTGAGAAGAACACAGTTTGCCACAGAACGATCAATTCGTTGCTCACACACGACAAGATTGACCATTCTTGTTCTTCTTTGTTTCCTACCGTACCAGGGCACCGCCAGCATTCACAATGTCAACCGCAAACGGTACCAGCAACAATTTGGACAAGATGTCCTTCCACGAACTCCGACAGGAATGCAAAAAGTCAAAGATTTCAGCATCAGGCACTGCTGAAGCCCTTCGTAAGCGGCTGCGAAGCTCCAAGCAGACCCAAGGAAATGCCAATGCCAAGCGCCAGAAGACATCGATTGCAGATGAGTTCATCTGTGCCATCAGCTTGGAGCTGCCCTGGGATCCTGTCACCGCTGAGGACGGGCGTGTCTATGAGCGTGAATGTATTGAGGAACACATCAAGAAGAATGATGGGGATCTCAAGTCTCCAATCACTAATGAAAAGATGGGCAATAAGCTCTTGCCAGCCATCCAGGTGTGGAACGCGATTGAGAAATTGGTGGAATCTGGTGTCATCGATGGAGATTTGGCTGCCAAATGGATTGAGAAGGTGAAGCAGAAGAAGTCCATGGAAGAGTTGTTGAAGGAGGCAGAAGGTGGAGATGACAATGCTATGGTTTCTGTTGGAGGGAAGTTTTATAATGGTTGTGATGGTTTCAAGCAAGACAAAGAGACAGCGTTTCGATGGTACAAGAGAGCACACGAGGCTGGGAATGTCCCAGGCACAGCTTTAATGGGGCTGTGTTACTTGGGGGGTTGGGGTGTCACCTAGTGCAGCACAAAGGGCGTGGGATACACGACAATCGCAGCAGGTCGAGGATCCAATCTGGCAGCCTTTGAATTGGGATTTGCCTTTGCAGAAAGCAAGTATGGTTTCAGTGTGGATAATACGGAGGCAATCCATTGGCTGGAGAAGGCGGTTGGGCAGTGTCCCTTCATGCATCTGAACCAGGAATACAAGAAGCGAGCCCAACAGAAGTTGAATGAGCTTCGAGCACAGCAGCAGCCATGATGCCTGCAAGAGCAGCCTGCCCCTTGATCCGTGTCGCCTGGTGGTTATGAGGATCTGCCCATTGAAGGGATGCCGCGGCCTTTCCGCGTGTTGTTGTGATGTACCCATGGCTTGGACAGCAATGTCAACACCCGGCTTTATGAAACTGGATCCCACTGTACGACATGGTGGTACGGTACCAAATATCTAGCATAAAAGTGTAGCTGACTAGCATTCTCATCATTCTAGTTATTTTGGCTTCCACCACTCACAGTGAAAGTCCCTTTAGAAGCCGCAGCACCGTACCGGTATAGTACCAAGTAACCCGCTGTTGTAACAACTAGTGAAAGGGGGTTTTACTGGGACAAGCAATCAAGTACATTTATTTCTATGACAAGAAAATTACAGCTAGCTCTTAGCAAAAACGAATAGCAACACCACTAGTTCATGGCATACTCAAACTCGGGAGCAGTGGGCAGTCTTCCAAGTCAACCGAGTGCACTTGAAAGGATGCGAGAACAGTTTCGGGTAGTTCATGCTCCTCGGCAGCTTCAATTATAAAGGCAAAAGCAATAGAGAGAGCCTTGGTGTGACTCTTGACAACACTCAGAATACCCTTGGCAATGCTGGACGCTGTGATGATGACATCCACCTCGTAGATGGAACGCCCACTGGGTTTCTGCGTAAAAAAGTATTGCAAGGGGATCACCTTGCCGAGAAGCGCGGGAGATGTGCCCGGTACTGCCGCCCGCACAATCCACGGACCGTCCACCACCACAGGGAGCATCTTCAAACGGGCATCACGATATTGCTGATTGCCTTCGACAAAACGCGTCCAAACATCGGCCAGCTGCGGATTCGCAAATTGTTCCAGAGGCGGAATCGAAAAGTAGGCCACAAAATTTCCAAATGGGAGCAAGAAATTGACCAAAAACATGTCCTTGTCCGTGTTGGCGAGGACCCCTTCCGACACACTTGGATGACGCGCAATGTGTCGTTCGGGGGTGTCCGAGAGCCACATGTCCACACCTTCACACGTAAACGATGCCTTACCGGAAGGCATCTTCACCCGGTCGGTCAAGTACGTCGGTCCACGAACGTTGAATATTGAGTCGTCTGGTTTGGACCAGCAAGAAACGGTGACTTTGTGGTCGGCATCGTACATGGGCAGGGGAGAGGACAATCTCGAATCTTGCTGTTGCAACAAGCTGGTGGACTCCACCGCTTCTGCCCGTGGGGAGCTTTCTTCACCCTCCTCATCTTCCACAGCCTCGCTGTCGTCGTCTTCATCCATGAGAGACTTGTGGGGTGTACCAGCCACAGTAGAATGCCCGACAGATTCTTCGCTCATGCTCTTGTTTGGGCTCTTGGGTTGTGGTGGTTGTTGTGTTTGATGGGACGTTGCGTCTGGACGATTGTGTTGCCCACCACCAAACAACAACTTGCCCACCCCTGCCGCCGCACACCATGACACAAAAAGGGTATCCAACCGCAAGGATACATACGGTAGTATGTGATACTTTTCGATGAATCGATTTCAACGCTGGCAGGAGAGATCGCGGAAACCACAGCGAACAAGAGCAGTCCAGCGGCGTAGGTTGTGGTTGGCTGTGGCAACCGCAGGTACCAACAGAGCAGTGAAAATCGCTTGGATGGTGTCGTATCTTTGGGTTTGGCCTGTTGCAACCACTGTTTGACAAACTGATCAATGCTCTGCTGTTGCAGAATGGTTCGTTTGGGTCGACTCAGGACACCACTGGGACCGTGAAATGCCCAGAATTGCGAGACACGAGTACTATTAGTAGCGTGTGGTTGCAATGACGACGACGACGACTGGAGTCCCAAGAATCGTTTCATGGAAGGCGAATTGACGACTCCGGCTTCCATACAAAAGGACCGCAGAACACTGTCGACCACGGCGACGGATTTGGTCAACTTTTCCATTTTGTGCAGTGTCGGCAAGTCCCGAATCCGTTGCAACTGCGCTTGTACTTTGGGCGAGAGTGGTACATGTTGTTTGTCCAGTATAATAATGTCGGCCATGTCGAGTGCCGTTCGTAGAATGGACCATTCTTGTACTTGTTGCTGTTGTTGTCGTGGCATGACCAAAAGCACATGGATTCGATAGGCAATTTCCCACTTGTAAGTTTCCAAGCGTACAAGCGTGTATCCAACCACCTTGGTGACAATCATTTTGCCAGCTTTGGGTTTATTAATATTGGGAAGAGTGGTTGTTGTTTTGGCTGTTTGTTGTTCGGGTGATGATTGTTGTTGTCGTTGTCGTGGAGGACTGGCCACAATAGAATCTTCCTGATGCTGTGGATCCCACGATGGATCATCCGTGGATGTGGAGTACGGCAAGGAATGCGTACTTCCCGAATGCAACGACGCATCTCGACTCATGGAAGCTGCCCATTGCAGTGCAATGACCCAGGATTGTGCTTCTTCGAGTGAATTGACGGCACATAGAAAATCTCTTGGCGTGGCCAAATTGGCATTTCCTTGACACTGTCCCATACTCAACAGTTGCATGCCATCACTAAACAAATCTTCTTCTCCACCACCTCCCGTTCCTTCCTCGTCGATTTGTTGTCCATGAAACAAGAATCCAAAGGCGCCTCGTGGCAACCCGACATGCATATCTCGCAGTGTAGTGACGTCAATGATTCTCGCATGATGAATCGCCAGTGTACACTTGGGGATTTTGGAATGGGGAAGGGTGTCGTCGTGCGGTGGAAGGTAGGGAGGAACAAAGGCATCCAATGTGCTGTTGGCAGGAATGGGCACTTCGTAATATCGCACCAGGCCATTGTCCCACACTTCAAGATGCCTTGGACGCCACACACGACGGATTTTCCCTCGCACCAACGCACGACCTGAATGGCGAATGGGGTTTGTCGGATGAGACGCGGGCAGCAGAGCAGTGAGGTGGTCGTCCGTATTATTATTATGGGTGTTGGAGTCGTCAGCAGCGGCAATAGTCGAGTCCGTCATGGTGGTGGTGGATTCCTTGGACATGGCCCACTAGTGATAGAGGTGTTGGCAAAGGCAATAAATGATGATGTCAAGGCAATCAAGCTAGCTAGGTAGAGACCTCTGATCATTGATCGAACATTGTCTGGCAAAGCCGGCAAAAAATCTCACCCTTCTGATGCCCTTCGTTCTTCGTCTCAAGGCGAAGAACAGTTGAATCGAATCATGAGTGGAGTCCCGCGGATCGTCTCCTCGTCTCACTTTTTCAGCTCGGAACAACTCGGTAGCATGCTGCCCAAAACCACCTCATGACATTGAACACGGTACGTAACGGGTTGCAAGAGTCGAACTACATGTTGTTATCACCAGCTAGCGAGAGCGCATCGCATCGCATCGACTTGGCTTGCAGTGACGTGTTCACCCTTTGCACTGGTTGTGTCAACTAACTCTGTGTTGCCTGCCTTTTATGCTACTTGCTTCCTTCTGCTGGCTTGTGGGCCGCGTGTGATCCCGTGCTGGAAAGCAATTCTTCGTTGTTGCCAAGACCAATGATGGCTAGCTAGATCTGCCTGATGTTATGGTACCATACGGTACCGTACCGTACAGTGAGGCCCCTTCATAATGGTTGTTACCTAACTGACTAAATGTTAAGGATGTGGCGAGTTCCCGGAATGTCATTTCGACCAAGCTTTTTGTTGTTGTACTTGTTGTAGATCTTGTTGATTATTGGCTCGAACGACTGAGGCAGCGACCTTCCTTCCTTTGCAGCAATATTCTTGCTGAGTTGGTAGTTTCTTTCACGTTTTGTAGCACTATTCGTGCTGCTGAACTGTGAGTTATCTTGTTCCTTTGGAGTACGATACTTCTTGCTGAACGGTGAGCTTCCTTCATTCGAAGTACTGTTGTTGTAGTCCTTGGAAATATGCAGCGTGTTTCCATGCACACCCGAAAAGACATCGGGACCAATGTCAATTTGTATCCGACGAATGGGTGCCCCAGCACTGGCTTCCATTTCGGCCAAGACTTGCGACGCAAAGGTACTGTGCGAATGCACCAAACTTTGGCACTTGCGAGCCATTTGAAACACAGTCAAAATCACCACCACTTCATGGATGGGATCTTTCGATGGCATTTGGTTCTCAAAGCCTCCTTCGGCCGCCTGGAACCGGGGACGGTCAACGTACATCCAGTTGTAGTTTGGAAACTCCGTCTTGGCCTCGGCAATCGCATTGGCGTCATCCGTCAGGAGGAAAATGTTGTGTTGTACCTGGAACTGGGGTCTCAGATAGTCACGGACGGGATGATATCGCCGCTTGTACTCGCCAGGATGTAGCACCACGTCCCCACGCCGAATGTGAATGACCGTGCACGGTGTTGTCATGGTTTGTTGTTTCTTGGAAAAGTCGTAGACGGCCTTGCGAAGCCAAGTTTGACGGCGAGTGACATACTCGTAGTACCACTGGTACCGGGGGGATCCGACAAACTGCTCTTCCAACATGTCTCTCGGGCTGACCACGGGGGCGGCAGAACAGTTGGATAGAGGGAGAAAGTAGCAAAACATGGTACCCTCCGGACAAACTGGCTCAATATCTTTGTATGCCTGTATCGCTGGTTTGGCTAGCCTGGGATTGGCGTAATGCCATGGCTGATTGGAAATCTGAAAGGGCTTGTGGTGCAAGACGGCATGCTTCAAACCATCCATAATGTTCAACATGTCGGCGTTCCAACCGGAACTCCACATCTTCTTGGTCACTGTCTGGCTACAGTCCCCGTGAAGAAACTGAACTTGATACAGCTCATTGAGAGCTCTCAACTTTTCTTCGTTTCGAATCCTCTTGAAGCAATAATGAGTTTCATTGTCTCTTTCCACGTCCATCTCCCATTGAACATTGTGAGTCCACCAATTGTCGGAATTCTGTGTCCACGGGACACAAAAACTGTTGTTGGCTTCGATACCGTCGCCTTCTCGAAGCAACGAAGATCCCAGTTCTCGATTTTCCTTGACAAAACCTCCGAGCAATACAGACTGCAAGATACTTCCGTCGTCAAGTGGAAGCATCCCGTCGAATGCAAGGAAGGTGATAATCACCACGACCAGCAAAACTCGGAGCATGGATCTCAGCACATTGCTCAATGGTTTCTTCATGGTCGTGTTGAGATGGCTCGACAGGTCCAAGCTTCATGAATCACCTCAAGCGGCATTTTCAGTCTTTGGAGAGAGATCTGAGCTTTGTCTCATTTATTCCTTGCGAACGATGATTCGATTCGATTCTGGGGGAGGTACGGATGCCGGTAGTGCTCCTGCAACGGTCAAACAGCATCCAATTTGTGGTCGCCGATTGGACGTTGGAGCGTCGGTTGGGTTGCATCCAATCCACGCCCCACTCACAAGAAAACATCTCTCGGACAACCTCAGACTATGTCATACCGGTACCACCACCCTCCCAGAAATGCGAGAACTGGCTGGTACCGGTACGCTGTACCAGAACGCTCAAACTCATCCAACATTTCCAATAGTCTGCTGTTTGATGAAACCCTATCGGTAGAGAGCAGATCGACTTCAAAAACAAGCAAGTTTCAATCGCTTATTTTAGACCCAGAAGGTCGCAGCATCCGCTAATTGCTTTTGCTGTTGGTTAGGACAGGGACTGTTGCTGTCAACATCAAGACACTGGCCATTCTGTCGGGGTTGCAATTGCACCACCGTCACTGAACCACTGCTGACCGACGCCACCCCGGCAGGCCGCAATCACTCTGCTCCAACCACTCCCATGGTAAACTCCAAGCAGCCCTCACCAATGGGCATCCACTCGGATCGACCACAGAGCACGTCGCCATGGTACTCTTTTGCTTCATATGACTCGATGGTACCTTGACTTCGGTTGACTTTCCGTCGTGCAAACGGCCCCAGTACTCTAGCTAGCAAGTGGAACCTGTTGCTATTTCAAAGCATGTGAGCTGAAGTCGACACCATCAACTCCAATCCACAGGAAGGACGAGGAGCCATCGTTGCCATTCCGACTGCCTGCCACAGCCGCCATGTCTGATACCAGGTACTACTGCTGCTCGTTCGTAAGTCAATGACAATTGGCTCGTCGTTTTCTACCATACCGGTACCTCTCCATGGATTCGTTCAGTACGTAGTTGTTGCGGCAGCAAGTGGAAAATATCGTCGAACGGAATTGATGCACTTTGGGTGAAATCACGTTACCGCCAATAGTTGGCCATGTGCAATTAGAGAAGTTGTACACTACTAGCTACGTCCTCACCCAGAGGTCCTCTCATCGCGAACACCTCCACAAACAGAGGCCGCACTAGCTCCTGTCGGCTTGTTCCGACAGGAAGCTGTGACCGTTTGACGTTGTCAGCTCAGGGCAACTGTAAAGGCCAACAGCCCATGGTGCTATATGTGCTTTCGGTGCATCACGACGCATGGATGCTTCAAGTTCATGGCACCTCGATACAAAACTCTGTGCATGTGACTTCGTATAAAGTCGACGCATATGTCTGCTTCGAAGAATCACCCTGGATGAAACGAAAGCTGTTGAGCCCTCCTGTTGATGCAGCATCATGGGATATGCACACTGTGCTTCCCGAGTTTGCAGAAACAACAAAGCCATCTGTGCAGCAGTCACCCCAAATAAAGGTGCCAGTAAGAGTGCCCCCTGAATATGACCAACTGTCATTTCCATTTTCGTCATCAATCACGGCCCATCCGGTGATACCTGTAACTGTCACACCAGCAACCCCATCACCTGCGTTCCCATTTGCTTGATTGTACACCAATACCACATACACATTTCCTCCGCTGTTGACAATTGCAGCACTTGCTTGACCAGAGTTGCTACTTTGTAGGCCTCCTGGGGTATTGGCATTGCTACCGCCTTGGTAGTACCACCCATTTGTGGTACCAATTGCTGCGCTGAGGGTGTCAATGAAAGGAACATTCGGTCCATCATCGATTGTCACTGTTGTAATTGGGCAGGGAGTGGGAACATCTGAAGGCACCATTGATGGAGATTCCGAGGGACTCATGCTTGGAATCATTGATGGCAAAAATGACGGAGAATATGATGGCACTACAGATGGACCAAGGCTCGGACTCATTGATGGAATGAAAGAGGGAACGTCGCTTGGTGAATGGGATGAGGGAAAAGAAGATGGTGCAATGGATGGGCTATTGCTGGGTGTCATGGAAGGTCCATCTGAAGGTCCAACTGAGGGGTTTGATGAGGGGCTACTGCTTGGACTTGAAGATGGAAAGAGAGATGGCTGGATGCTCGGTGTCATGGATGGCCCATCTGATGGCGACAAAGAGGGCTCTGTAGAGGGGCTTCTGCTTGGGCTTTCAGAGGGTTGAGATGATGGGCTTTTGCTTGGGCTCAAAGATGGCAAGTCAGAAGGGTTTGTGCTGGGAGCAACCGATTCTGATGGAGCAATGCTAGGGGTCCTAGAAGGCATATTTGAAGGTTCCTTAGATGGTGAAGCTGAAGGGCTGCCACTTGGTGTGGATGATGGTTTCGTTGATGGGCTTCCACTTGGAGTTATGGAAGGCATTTCTGAAGGGGAAACAGAGGGCACTGTTGAAGGAATGCCACTTGGTGTGGATGATGGTTGGGTGGATGGGCTAATGCTTGGAGTCATGGATGGTACATCTGAAGGGGCAATAGAGGGGAAATCAGAAGGACTGACACTTGGTGCGGATGATGGTTGCCGTGGATGGTCTGTTGCTTGGAGTCATGGAAGGTACATCTGAAGGGGCCATAGAGGGGAAGTCAGAAGGACTGACACTGGGGGTGGATGATGGGTTTGTGGACGGGCCAGCACTTGGGGATACCGAAGGCATCTCTGAAGGGGAAAATGATGGTGAAGCTGAAGGACTGAGGCTTGGGGTGGCTGATGGTTTCGTGGATAGACTGGGAGAGCTGGATGGCGATTTGGATGGCAACCCTGATGGTGCACTGCTCGGAGCAGTGCTGACAGAGGGACCGAAAGATGCCAATGATGGGGGACTAGAGGGGGGTTCTGAGGGTTCCCCTGAGGGGATAGCAGAAGGTTTTGAGGATGGCTGCAAAGATGGAGATTCTGAGGGGGTCCCCGAAGGAAAATTGGAGGGTACAAAAGAAGGGAACATGGAGGGTGCACTTGAGGGGACCAAGGATGGTATGCTTGATGGTGCAGAAGACTCTGAGGGGACACTAGAAGGTGATTTTGACGGAGCAAAGGATGGCGAGCTCGAAGGCATAGAAGACCCTGAAGGGATACTGGATGGTAGAGAAGATGGGGACTCTGAGGGACCAGCTGTTGGGGGCTGGGTAGGTGGGTTTGTTGGATTCTTGGTAGGTGATTTTGTTGGGGGGTTGGTTGCCCCCTTTGTTGGGGTCCTTGTTGGTGCTTTGGTTGGTGGATTTGTGGGTGCTTGAGATGGGCTTTGTGATGGCACAACGGAAGGCATGCTGGATTGGATGAACGAAGGTGGGGATGAAGGAAGTGACGATGGTGAACCTGAGGGGATCAAAGATGGCATCATGGAGGGAAGAGAAGACCCTGAAGGGACACCAGAAGGCAGGGAAGACATGGAAGGTGTACTTGATGGGATAGATGATCCTGAAGGGGCACTTGATGACAGAGAAGATGGCGACTCAGACGAAAGAGAGGATGGCAGTATTGAAGGGGAGCTTGATGGGGAGACAGATCCAGAAGGAACACTGGATGGCTGAGAAGATGTTGATTCAGACTGCAATGTGGATGGTGTTATCGAAGGTGTGCCTGAGGGAATGGAAGACACTGAAGGAGCACTAGATGGCTCAAACGCTGGTGACTGAGAGGGAATAGATGATGGGGAGTTTGAAGTCACGCTTGTGGGTATAGAGGATACAGTCGAAGGATATGCTGAGGGAGCTGAGGAAGGTGTGGTTGATGGTGCTGCTCCCGTAGGTGATTCAGTGGGGGGTGATGTGGTTATCGTTTCCCGCAAGTACAAAGCTGCTACATTGGTCAAGTCACTGAAAGCAGCTACAAATGTATCAATCTCAGCTTGATTCTGAAGGAATGAGCCAGAGCCTGTGGAGTTTGTAGTGACCAAAAACTCCAATTGAATGATTCCCACCTGCAAGCGTCTTCCATCTATTCTGCGGGCTACTGCTGCATCAATCAGCACAGGAGCACAAGTTTCTGTCCTATTCAGAGCACCATAGGATTGCAAAAATGCCGTATTCAGTTCGGTATCCGACTGCAGATCAGTATTGTTGTCAAATCCCATGTAATAGTATGCTGTAGTTGTGATGAATCCACAGGCTTCAGCTACAGTTGTTGGCCCAGATGATGGGGCACTATTAGGAGAAGATGTAGGTTCTCCAGGAGTAACAGTGGGTTGCAGGGTGGTTGGACCAGAGCTGGGTCTAAATGATGGAGATGCACTTGGTTCCTGGCTTGGTTGTTGACTGGGATTTGTGCCGGGATTGTGGCTAGGAGCTTGCACCATGCTTGGGGTGGCAGATTGCAAACCACTTGGAGATTGAGTGGGGTCCTGGTTTGGTTCATTGGTGGGGCTGGGTGTTGGTTCACCTGTTGGCTCATTTGTTGGGCTGGGGCTTGGTTCTTCTGTTGGCTCATTTGTCGGGCTGGGGCTGGGCTCATTAGTTGGGCTGGGGCTAGGTTCATTGGTTGGCTCATTAGTTGGGTTGGGGGATGGTTCGACAGTGATTCCTTGTGTAGGTTCTGGCGTTGGTTGCAGCGTTGGCTCCAGTGAAGGCTTGATGGTTGAAACTGGTTCTGCATTTGTGGGTGTTCCTGAGATGGGTGCCATTGAAGTTGGTTCACCGGTTTCTGTTGTGGGACTTCCAGTGGTAGGAGTGGGATTCACAGTTGGTGACCCTTCAGTATCCATTGTGGGGCTACCACTTGCTGGAGAAGCTGTGGATGGAGATGCCGAAGGGGTACCGGGAGTCACAATGATGCTTGGTGCACTTGTGGCTGGACTCATTGAGGGCATTCCAGGAGTGACAGTAGGTGTTCCTGTGGTAGGCTTCACTGAGGGTGATCCAGGACTGCCTGTGGGTGTTTCTGTTGCGGGACGTGCCGAGGGTGATCCAGGCGTGACCGTTGGAATTCCCGTTGCAGGTCTGGCCAAGGGTGATCCAGTTGTCACAGTTGGAATTTGTGTAGTTGGGGTATCAGTTGGGGGGGCTGTGGTGGGGCTTACAGAGGGAGATCCAGGAGTGACTGTTGGCATCCCTGTTGTGGGGGTATCCGTTGGTGAAGTCGTGGCGGGGCTTACTGAGGGCGATCTAGATGTCACTGAAGCTGTACCCTTTGTGGGACTAGTCGAGGGTGATCCAGGGGTGACCGTTGGTGTTCTTGTTGTGGGGCTGCTAGTAGTGGGAGTAGATGATGGTGATCCAGGTGTCACAGTTTGAATGCTTGTAATGGGGGTAGTGGCTGGCACTACTGTGGCAGGGCTAAACGAGAGTGGGCCAGAAGTGACCGTCGGTGTACCTTCAGTGTGACCAATGCTCATTGGGGCAACTGAGGCTGGTACAAGTATTCCAGGATTGTCATTTGGGTTGGATCCTGGAGAGCTGCTCGAAGCTGGAGGTTGCATTGCTGAGGCAGCAACCACACCATCTGATGGTGTTACTGTAGTCGGTGTCGCCAAGGGGCTGCCTGTACCAGCTGCTGGATTTTTCGAGGTGTCTGTTGGTACCAACATGTCCGGACTTCCAGTTTGGGGACTCCAAACTGGTGAACCTGATGATTCTCGTGAATCACTACTGTCGAGCATTACTTGAAGCTCCACAAAAGAAGATTGTACATTTGGTGATGGCGAAATAGTAGGAGAGTCTCTCTCAATTGTAACACTGGCTGTACCATTTGAACTTGCCCACTTTTCAAGTACAGCTGGTAGGACTTCCTGGCATTCTTGAGCAGTGACTGACTCTAAGCATGCCTCCATGGTTTGGATATCAACACTGACCCCAGCCAACAGCTCCTCACAGAAGTCATCTGTGGCATCAGATTGTTTCTGTTCTAGACAGTTCTGTAGATTGTTTAGCTCCTCATTTACAAAAGGGGCCACAATTGTCCCATTGTTGGCCGATACTAGGTCAACATACTGGTTGATATCAGTGCGGCCAACCCTTTGGACAACATCACTGAACTCCCCCGTGGTAGCCAAGGTTGAAGTTCGCCGGGTGAACGCAACATAGAGCGAGGGCCTGGAACCACTGGGGCTTGTCACATTGAAAGCTTCCAATATTGCCCGCATCTGTTGCTCATAGGTTGTGGCAAACAATACAAAGAACTCAGACAGGACAAATTCAGCATCCTGTTTCTCTTGTAGGCTCCGACCTTGTGATTCATCAGTCTGTGTGGATGGATCCTCGAACAGAGGTTCATGGTCAGGACAACCAGCACAACTCACAACCGGTTCCCATGTTGTCGTTGTGACAACAAGACTTTTCTGTCCATCACATCCAGGTACAGTATCCGTAGCATTGCTGTCACTAAACGTTCTGTTGCAGGTTCCATTGACGAGGGTGGCATTCTCTGCGAATGTTGTGATGTTCTCTGAGTAGAATCCTGTCATGTTGGCCGAGAACATGATTCGTTGAAATGGGTCCAAGCACATAGCTGTGATCTCATTGTAGATCTGGCGGAAAAGGATCTCCAGTTCTTCCTGCATGGGCCCAATCTTGCTCGAGTCCATGTCTTCAAACTTGAGCTCCACATAGCCCATCTTCATTTGACCATCCAAGGCACAGGAGGGCGGCTCAAATGGGTCAGCTGTGTTTATCCCTACAAGGGCTACATAGGGAACAACAGGCTGTTCCTGGCTAACAATTGAAGAGGCCAGACCTGCTGTGACTGCAGTTGCTGTGATCACCGCAGCAGTGGCTACTGCTGCTACAGTGGTTGCTGATGCTGTCACAGCGGATGCCCCAGCAGCAACCGCAGCTGCAGTGGTAGCTCCTTTTGAAAGTACAGACCAAGAGGGTGAGATACCCAACTGTGGGGCACCCAATAGGCAGACTCATCTTCAACTCACCTGTAGCTGCTCCGGCTGCTGCTGCTGATCCCCCCATTGAAGCCATGACAGCGACTGCCACAGCAGCCCCCGAGCCTGTTTGTTGTGTTGTTCTTGAGGTTGCATCATTCCGCACAACACCGTTATCAATTAATTCTGCGCCATCCTTGGCCTGAGCATCACCGCTACTTGCTCTTTTACAACATTGTTTCAAGCATCTCATTATGGTAGTACAGCATTGGACATGAAGAACAAATACATACTTCATGGCTTGCTGCATACCAACCCAAAAAGCAATACCAAACAATATCGACTTCTCTCTTTCAATAGCCGAATCCACAGAAGCAGCTGACTCTGAATGACTGATCATAGATTCATGATCATTTTCTTCTTTGGAACTGTCATCGTTGTCCATTGCTCCTTTCGAGTCATCCATGAATGGAATCTCTTTCATTTCACCTGGTGCCCCAGAGACTCTCTTCCAAACCTCAAGAACATGATGAGATGAGTGACGGCCCAATGGGTCCACACTGTCATTTCCTGTATTGCTCTTCTCACCGTCGTCACGATGATTGCCACTTTCTTCGTCATCGGCGCTCTTGGTTGCTGCCGCACCGGACTGGACAAGCCGAGTCGTATATGCCAAGAGACGACTGTGGTCTGTGTCATCATGGTCGCTTACCCAAGCTAGGTAACCTTCTTGCGAGGCTTTGTGGGACTCTGCTGTCCCCGCTTCGGAAGCCGCGTCTGCACTGCCTCCAATAGTGCTACCGTAGCTGGCAATCGATCCGCTGGCATCGTTTCTGTTGTCTCGACGCACCGTTTGTGCTTCTCGTTGCGATTCGTCAACCCCCTCACGCTCGTCAAGAGTATCAGCAGAGAAAGAGACGTCCAGCAGATTTTTGGAGCTCATGGTTCGTTTGCTCGTCTTCTGATGCCACTACTACCAAGGATCCGATCCCAGAGAGAGATACCTTCTTCCAAGGCTACTCGCAGTTTTCGGTCCTGTGTTGCTGCCAGAGTGTAACTCAAGAGCGCCAAGCAGCAGGGACTTCGAAGGAACGGTGTTGTGGCTCTTCAATCGGCCTTACCGTACCAGAAGAGATAAGATGGATGATTGAAGACTTGGTTGAGCTTTTGGATGGGGGTTGTCAGTAATCACAACGAGAGGTATCGCAAGGCCCGCTACTGGTTGGTTCGTTTGGTGGTTTTGGTTTTGGTTTTGCAGGTTGCCGGAGCTCGGTCACTCATAAGCACTTCTGCCCTTCACCTCTTCATTAAATCTGACTTTTAGTATCTTTGACGGTCGAATAAGAGAGTAACTGCCGGTGTCATTGCCTTTAAACCAATTTCGTAAGAGCAGTGAAAAAGAGAATTATGACATAAATACATTCTGAATCATGCATTGTAAATTGTAAACTGGCAAGTGGCAAGTACAGGAATACAGTTAAGGAGTACTTTGAGAGAAAGAGTCATTCGTCATTTGGAGAAAGTCCTCTTGCGTGTGCAGAAGTGCAGACTTTCCCTCTTTCCCTGATCGTGAAAAACTCGATCGTCACACCGCCTTGCTGGTTCCGACACATACATTGCCACTTCCGCACGATCTCACCACATCGACGATGGGCTGAAAGCTGAAGATAGAACAGACGTGACGTAAATGAAGGCCACGCCATCGTAGGCAGGGTGCTTCGATTATGGCCAAACAGCCCCATCTATCGAATCCGAGATCCGAGCACCTTCTACAATTGGAAAGCTTCCGTTGGTTGATCTCGGAATAGCCTCGAGAACTCGAGAAGGGTTGGATGACGCTGCTTCAATACAAGCAAGTTTTCCATAATCTTGTCGCACGGGAAGTAGTCTAGGTGTATGGTACAGCGTACGCTGCCTCCGAGAGAATCGAATCCAAGCAAATCTAGAGCGGCGATGTGCGTTTGCACCCAAAGCAAGCAGAGGTGTTTGAAAAATCAATGTAGGCAAGTCACCATCGTGGTTCGTTGCCAGTGCAGCCCCAAAATGGACGGGACAGCCAGAGAGGAACACGTCAAGGCGTCCAGCATTCAATGGCTCTGCGGGAGGGGAAAGCTCGACGAATTGCTAGTACAACTTTCTGTCACGGGACCTACGGCTCTTCCGAACGAGGCTCGGGTCGAGTCGAGGTGTCCAAACTTATCCTCCAATTTAATCAGTCAATTGCGAGCGAAGGCGGGAGCATGAGAGAACGAACACTCGCGATATTGGTACGAGTTGGCGGCTTGCATTGCCTCCGTTTAGCCGAGTGCGTGCTGTACAACTGTACTTGACGCCTCTGCGAATACGGTACCAGGTGCACCATCGGTCAGTCCGCTCTCTGACATCACTGCATGGTTACGGAGCAACGAATCGAATCATGGGCGAGGAGATTGAGGACCGTGTCTTTTCCCATCGGAAATCAGTACTGGGCAACGCCAGGCTGGTGCACTCCAACTCGGTTGATCATGCCGCCAACTTCCGGGGGCGAAGGCTTTGTCGTCAGCTGATCTGTCAAACGCAGCAAAAGTGAGAGTGCTAAAATACAAAATACTGTGTTTGACAGAGCCAATCCACCGTGCGTGCCACCGAGTTGTGGTTGCCGTGAAATCGTCGTGTTGGGCATACATCGTACCATGGCAGGAGCTAGAACTTCCGTAGCGTGGCCACTGCGCATTGGGGCATCCATGGTACAAAATTTAATTGAAGTAGAATTGGGCGCAGGTTAGAACGGAAGGAATGACAGAGCTGGAACAGGAGCTAACTAGCTCGCTAGCTACCGGTAGCTAGTAAAGTTGTTGCTCGTCGTCCAACCATAATCGTCGTGCTCACAGCAAAGCCGTCGTCGTCAGAGAGTTTTCAAACAGTTGTGCTCGCGCCCCACAGAGCAAGTGCAATCCATTCGAACCCAAAACAGCCGCAGTCTTTGTCCACTTGGAAGCGTACCTTCACGAAAATAGTAGGCGGTGAGTAGAAAGAATGTGGGACAGCGAAGCCAACAGATTCTGAAACCTCTACATGTGCCAGCGAGCTCGGCAGAGGCTTTGTGGATTCCAAAATGTGACTATATTCATGGGATTTCTACACAAAACTCGGTGCATGTAATCTCTGAGAGGGATGATGCATATATCGTTTCTGAATTGTCACCTTGAATGAAGCGAAAGCTGGTCAGTCCTGTGGTGATTGGCTTTTTGTGGGTGATGCAAACAGTGCTTCCTGAATCGACAGAAGCCACAAAGCCATCTGGATGGGCTCCACCCCATTTAAAGTCTCCACTGATGGTTCCTGATGAATAACGAACTTCTCCACTATCATCCACAAGCACCAAGCCTGTTGTCCCAGTGACTTCAATGTCTGCCTCGCCACGACCGCCACGCCCAAATCTTTGGTTGTACACCACCACCATGTACAAGCTTCCTCCACTGTCCACGATTCCCATGCTTACTTGCTCAGAGTTGTCACTATGCAGGCCTCCCTGCGTGTACCAACCATTCTCACTAGTGATAGGAGTGCCTGTGTTGTCTAGGAACGCAACATTGGGTCCATCGTCGATTGTCACTGTTGTTGGTTGGCAGGGAGTGGGAACATCTGAAGGCACCATTGATAGAGATTCCGAGGGACCCATGCTTGGGCTCATTGATGGCAAAAATGAGGGAGAATATGATGGCACTCCAGATGGACCAAGGCTCGGACTCGTTGACGGAAGGAAAGAGGGAGTGTCGCTTGGTGAATGGGATGAGGGAAAAGAAGATGGTGCAATGGATGGGCATTGCTGGGTGTCATGGAAGGTCCATCTGAAGGTCCAACTGAGGGGCTTGATGAGGGGCTACTGCTTGGACTTGAAGATGGAAAGAGAGATGGATGGATGCTCGGTGTCATGGATGGCCCATCTGATGGCGACAATGAGGGCTCTTTAGAGGGGCTTCTGCTTGGGCTTTCAGAGGGTTGAGATGATGGGCTTTTGCTTGGGCTCAAAGATGGCAAGTCAGAAGGGTTTGTGCTGGGAGCAACCGATTCTGATGGAGCAATGCTAGGGGTCCTAGAAGGCATACTTGAAGGTTCCCTAGATGGTGAAGCTGAAGGGCTGCCACTTGGTGTGGATGATGGTTTCGTTGATGGGCTTCCACTTGGAGTTATGGAAGGCATTTCTGAAGGGGAAACAGAGGGCACTGTTGAAGGAATGCCACTTGGTGTGGATGATGGTTGGGTGGATGGGCTAATGCTTGGAGCCATGGATGGTACATCTGAAGGGGCAATAGAGGGGAAATCAGAAGGACTGACACTTGGTGCGGATGATGGTTGCGTGGATGGTCTGTTGCTTGGAGTCATGGAAGGTACATCTGAAGGGGCATAGAGGGGAAGTCAGAAGGACTGACACTGGGGGTGGATGATGGGTTTGTGGACGGGCCAGCACTTGGAGATACCGAAGGCATCTCTGAAGGGGAAAATGATGGTGAAGCTGAAGGACTGAGGCTTGGGGTGGCTGATGGTTTCGTGGATAGACTGGGAGAGCTGGATGGCGATTTGGATGGCAACCCTGATGGTGCACTGCTCGGAGCAGTGCTGACAGAGGGACCGAAAGATGACAATGATGGGGGACTTGAGGGGGATTCTGAGGGTTCCCCTGAGGGGATAGCAGAAGGTTTTGAGGATGGCTGCAAAGATGGAGATTCTGAGGGGGTCCCCGAAGGAAAATTGGAGGGTACAAAAGAAGGGAACATGGAGGGTGCACTTGAGGGGACCAAGGATGGTATGCTTGATGGTGCAGAAGACTCTGAGGGGACACTAGAAGGTGATTTTGACGGAGCAAAGGATGGCGAGCTCGAAGGCATAGAAGACCCTGAAGGGATACTGGATGGTAGAGAAGATGGGGACTCTGAGGGACCAGCTGTTGGGGGCTGGGTAGGTGGGTTTGTTGGATTCTTGGTAGGTGATTTTGTTGGGGGGTTGGTTGCCCCCTTTGTTGGGGTCCTTGTTGGTGCTTTGGTTGGTGGATTTGTGGGTGCTTGAGATGGGCTTTGTGATGGCACAACGGAAGGCATGCTGGATGGGATGAACGAAGGTGGGGATGAAGGAAGTGACGATGGTGAACCTGAGGGGTCAAAGATGGCATCATGGAGGGAAGAGAAGACCCTGAAGGGACACCAGAAGGCAGGGAAGACATGGAAGGTGTACTTGACGGGATAGATGATCCTGAAGGGGCACTTGATGACAGAGAAGATGGCGACTCAGACGAAAGAGAGGATGGCAGTATTGAAGGGGAGCTTGATGGGGAGACAGATCCAGAAGGAACACTGGATGGCTGAGAAGATGTTGATTCAGACTGCAATGTGGATGGTGTTATCGAAGGTGTGCCTGAGGGAATGGAAGACACTGAAGGAGCACTAGATGGCTCAAACGCTGGTGACTGAGAGGGAATAGATGATGGGGAGTTTGAAGTCACGCTTGTGGGTATAGAGGATACAGTCGAAGGATATGCTGAGGGAGCTGAGGAAGGTGTGGTTGATGGTGCTGCTCCCGTGGGTGATTCAGTGGGGGGTGATGTGGTTATCGTTTCCCGCAAGTACAAAGCTGCTACATTGGTCAAGTCACTGAAAGCAGCTACAAATGTATCAATCTCAGCTTGATTCTGAAGGAATGAGCCAGAGCCTGTGGAGTTTGTAGTGACCAGAAACTCCAATTGAATGATTCCCACCTGCAAGCGTCTTCCATCTATTCTGCGGGCTACTGCTGCATCAATCAGCACAGGAGCACAAGTTTCTGTCCTATTCAGAGCACCATAGGATTGCAAAAATGCCGTATTCAGTTCGGTATCCGACTGCAGATCAGTATTGTTGTCAAATCCCATGTAATAGTATGCTGTAGTTGTGATGAATCCACAGGCTTCAGCTACAGTTGTTGGCCCAGATGATGGGGCACTATTAGGAGAAGCTGTAGGTCTCCAGGAGTAACAGTGGGTTGCAGGGTGGTTGGACCAGAGCTGGGCTAAATGATGGAGATGCACTTGGTTCCTGGCTTGGTTGTTGACTGGGATTTGTGCTGGGATTGTGGCTAGGAGCTTGCACCATGCTTGGGGTGGCAGATTGCAAACCACTTGGAGATTGAGTGGGTCCTGGTTTGGTTCATTGGTGGGGCTGGGTGTTGGTTCACCTGTTGGCTCATTTGTTGGGCTGGGGCTTGGTTCTTCTGTTGGCTCATTAGTTGGGCTGGGGCTAGGTTCATTGGTTGGCTCATTAGTTGGGTTGGGGGATGGTTCGACAGTGATTCCTTGTGTAGGTTCTGGCGTTGGTTGCAGCGTTGGCTCCAGTGAAGGCTTGATGGTTGAAACTGGTTCTGCATTTGTGGGTGTTCCTGAGATGGGTGCCATTGAAGTTGGTTCACCAGTTTCTTCTATAGTTCGAACTCCAGCAGTAGGCAGAGCACTTGTTGGATTCACAGTTGGTGATCCTTGAGCAACTGTTGGGAACAATGTTGTGGGCCCACTTCTTGCTGGAGCAGCAGTGGAGGGAAACTCTGAGGGTGTACCAGAAGTCATAGTGAGCAATCCAGAAGTGACAGCTGCTGTCTGTACTGTTGGGCTGGTGGTGGTGGAGCAACGGTTGGGGAATTAGTGATGGGGTTTACCAGAGTGGCACTTGGTGGTCCTGTTATTGGGATCGTTGTAGTGGGGATCCCTGTTGGGAAAACTGTGGTTGGTGCCACTGAGGATACAACTGGAGAGCCAGTCAATGTTCCTTCTGTCGAACTCATGCTCATTGGGGCAACTGAGGCTGGTCTGCCGAGATTGTCATTTTGGTTGAATCCTGGAGAGCTGCTTGAAGCTGGAGGTTGCATTGCTGAGGCAGCAACGACACTATCTGATGGTGTTACTGTAGTCTGTGTCACCAAGGGGCTACCCATAGCATCTGCTGAAATTTCCGTTGCGTCTGTTGGAACCAATGGGTCTGGACTTTCAGTTTGGGGACTCCAAACCGGTGAACCAGATGATTCCCGTGAGTCAGTGCTGTCCAGCATTACTTGAAGCTCCACTAATGAAGATTGTACATTTGGTGATGGTGAAATCGTGGGAGAGTCTCTCTCAATTGTAAAACTAGCTGTACCATTTGAACTTGCCAAATTTTCAAGTACATCTGGTAGGACTTGCTGGCATTCTTGGGAGGTCACCGACCCTAGGCATGCCTCCATGGTTTGTATATCCACACTGACCTCAGCCAAGAGCTCCTCACAGAACTCATCTGTGGCATCAGATTGTTTCTGTTCTAGACAGTTCTGTAGATTGTTTAGCTCCTCATTTACAAAAGGGGCCACAATTGTCCCATTGTTGGCTGATACTAGGTCAACGTACTTGTTGATATCAGTGCGGCCAACCGTTTGGACAATATCACCGAACTCCCCCGTGGTAGCAAAGGGTGAAGTTTGCCGGGTGAACGCAACATAGAGCGAGGGCCTGGAACCACTGGGGCTTGTCACATTGAAAGTTTCCAATAATGCCCGCATCTGTTGCTCATAGGTTGCGGCAAACAATACAAAGAACTCAGACAGGACAAATTCAGCATCCTGTTTCTCTTGTAGCTCCGACGTTGTGATTCATCAGTCTGTGTGGATGGATCCTCGAACAGAGGTTCATGGTCGTGACATCCAACACAACTCACAACCGGTTCCCATGTTGTCGTTGTGGCAACAAGAGGTCTCTGTCCATCACATCCAGGTACAGTATCCGTAGCATTGCTGTCACTAAACGTCTGTTGCAGGTTCCATTGACGAGGGTGGCATTCTCGCGAATGTTGTGATGTTCTCTGAGTAGAATCCTGTCATGTTGGCCGAGAACATGATTCGTTGAAATGGGTCCAAGCACATTGCTGTGATCTCATTGTAGACCTGGCGGAAAAGGATCTCCAATTCTTCCTGCATGGGGCCAATCTTGCTCGAGTCCATGTCTTCAAACTTGAGCTCCACATAGCCCATCTTCATTTGACCATTCAAGGCACAGGGGGGAGGCTCAAAGAGTGCGTGATTGGCCAACGGAGATGTCTCATTGATTGTTACTCGTGGGACCGTGGCCTGCTGCTGGCGAACTACTGTTGAAACCAGACTTGCAGTAATAGCTGCTGCAGTAGCCACTGCCGCTACTGTGGTTGCCGACGCTGCTACAGCAGAAGCCCCTGCTGCTGTGGCTGATGTGGCCGCTGCAGTTGTGGCTCCTGTGGTAGTACAACAAAGGCAGAGAGTGAGCTACCCAACAGTTTAAAAAAACGTGGGATACTACATAGAAGTAAATGGATTCTCTTGAACTCACCTGCGGCTGCTCCAGCTGCTGCTGATGCTCCTCCCATGGAAGCCATGACTGCCACTGCAGTAGCAGTCCCTGTCTGCTGTGTTGTTCTTGAAGTTGAGTTTGTATTGCCGTTCTCAGCCCCATTGTCCATGAGGTCAGCTCCATCCTTGGGCTCTGTCTCATCATTATTGAATCGTTTGCAACATTTCTTTATGCACTTCATCAAAAAGTTGCAGCATTTGCCATGTAGGACACTTGCATACTTCATGGCTTGCTGCATAAGGACCCAGAAGGCAATTCCAAACATGATGGATTTCTCCATTTCGATTGCTGAATCAACAGAGTCTGCTGACTGAGAATTGCTGACAAATGACTCTTCGTCGTCTCCGCTGCAGCTTTCGTCGTGTTCTTCGTTGTCGATTCCTTGTTTTGATTCGTCCTGTAGTGTCGTTCCTCCCATTTCACCTATATCAACTACCCCAGAGGCTTGCTTCCACACCGTTAGAATGTGATGTGATGAGTGGCGTCTTAAGGGGTCCAGATTGTTGTCCTTGTCCTCATTGTCACGGTCGTGATGGCTGCAACTTTCTTCATCGTCCGCCATCTCGGTTGCCGTGGCTCCTGACTGAACAAGACGAGTTGTGTAGGCCAAGAGACGACTGTGGTCTGTGTCATCGTGATTCCCTACCCAGGCCAAGTAGTTTCCTTCTGCAGGTTCGCGATCCTCTCTTTCAGCACTGTCGACCTCGCCGCCAACAACGACCGAAGATTGCCGTTGCGATTCGTCAATCTCGACATGGTTGATATCAGCGGAGAATGAGACCTCCAGGTGATTCTTCGAGCTCATGGTTCCTTTCTCCGTCGTTTGTTGCCTTTTCGTCGCGTGGATTTGCAATCCTTTCTCTGTAAGAGATTTCCTTCAAGAGCCCGCATTTTGCAAGAGGCGAATTGCGCTAAACCTCACTGTAGATGTTGATGGTTTGCAGAGTCGAGTCGACCCCAGTCACTGGCCATCGACAGCTACAGCATGTACTAGAGTAGCTCTTGCCCCGCCACCACTGCCAGCTGCCAGTTCACACGTTCACGCGTTTGCACCAAGCGCCAAAAGCCGAATTCTAAAGTTGCCACTCCTTTAAGTGACTCCTAAATCCTAAATCAATCTGCAATGACCCAAAGAAGTGAAAGGAATAATACAGCTATAATACTCACTGTTAAAATTTAATTAAATAAATCACTTGGAACAGACAAGAAGCTCCGTACTTACTGTACAGTACCGCTAGTTCGGAGCACTCCAGTCTTAATTAAGTCATTCTCACAACTATTATTAGATTATCAGTTCCGAGTTCCTACTGTATTTTTTTTTTTAAATTGATCGGAAAATAAATGGAGCAGTGACTGGCATCCTACCGGTAAATACATGAACCGGTACTGGTACCGGTACCGCGAAGATGCTCGATGCTTGTTGTCACTCATTTATTTTGGCGGAAGGCGGAAGCTTCCGAGCTCGAGAGAGGTCGACGCTGCGAGGAAGGTTTCGAGAAACTGTCACTCCGCTCCACTTGACCGTCACTCGAGTTTTATGTTCGGGGATGCTCGAGGCGCTCACATGTTAGAGGATCGAGCTCACCCGCAACTCAAACACCGCTCCACTACAACAACCATTCTCATCGATTTCTAGACGTGTTGACAGTTGGCGTCGAAAGACGCCACTGCACCCTTTGCGAACGAGGAGCCGCAGGAGGTCTCTTCGTTAGAAAATAACCGCTTCGTAAAAGTTTATCCAAGCAGTGCCGTAGGGTATCGCACCGGAAAGAATTTGCAGCGTTGGTTCATTTGATTGCAGAGTACTTCTTCTCCACGGCAGCCATCTGGCTGTGGCCCCTCCGGACAGTCACGCACTTGAACGCGGGAGTTAACGTATTGAATTGAGAAGCAACCAGTGCACGTGGGGCAACATCAATCTTCCTCCACGATAGCGATCCACGATGGACAATGATTTATTTAAAGATGCTGGTGGCCGGATTTGAGACCGGTACGGTACAGCTCACACTGAATTTGGAGCGAGAAAGTGCCATCGGCAGTCACCATGTTCATCTAAATCGTTCCTAGAATTCGGTGTCAGCATCCATCTCAATTCCTTGGCCAAGAGTTAACTGCTTCCACATGCTTCCATTTCTTGTCTTCGATTTCGTCTCCGTCCTAAGCCGGAGGTATACGTCGCTATGGTGGATGTTAGTGGGTTATCGGTCTCACAAAAGTGGAGCCAGAACGCAAGTATGCCACTCCACTATTTACAAAGCACCCTGTTTCAATTTTTACTGGTCCAGGCTAGCTAGGCCGTCTTCTCGATGCTATCTCTGGAGTTGCTCTCAACGAGATTGGTAAAAGGAAGCTGTTTCGCATCGAAAACGTTCAGGTCGACGGGAAGCGGCGGGGACACGTACCGCATTTGCAACTTCTTTGCGACTTCCAAGCAGTAGCTGGTAAGTTTCGCTTTGCTGGTGAGAATACTGATCACAGACTGCCAAGCTTCTCGATGCTGGACAACGACTTTATATTCAATGAAGCCTCTGTCCACGGATATGCTAGAGGCTCGAAATCCCAAAAAGCCTAGCCATTCTCGTGGGCGTGCTTTCACAAATACTTCCACCGCCGATTGAAATATCTCAATCTTCTGATACGGCACGTCAATCCCAAATTTCAAGTTGACGTACAAAACAGCATTGGGAGATCGGGCGGCGTTGATGATACGAGAGCTCGCCAATGTGCCATTGGACACCGTTGCGCGTTCGTTCGTAGTGCCGTAGCAGACTGTGGTGGAAAATAGATTGATCTTCTCCACGATCCACCCGCTACTCCCGTCAAAGCTACTTTCATCTTGTGAATTTGCAACATGAATTCGATCGCCTACCGCCGTGATAAGACCTCTGTGTGAGTTTTGGATGTAGCCAGAGATGTAGACTTGAAATCGAAAAGCACACAAACTACGTACCGACACCTTCGAGGGATTGGGGCACGAGGATTGAACCGCTGAGAACCAACAACAGGGAAATTGGAAGCACCGGTACCTCGAAGACTCACCGTAAGGTCTCTGAACTAAAATGAGCAGCACGCCCTGATTGTTACGAGAAGGATGATCTTGAGCTATAGAATCGAACTGCAGTCTTCGGAGGATTCACGGTCTTACCTCGAAGTATTTCGCTGAGGCATGCACGACAAAGGCGAGATTGAGACAACTTCATTAGTGCCTTCAATGCTTCTCACGAAAAAACTTACATGCGGCGGCCCCGATTACAAAGGCGAACGCAATGACGAAGCTGCTCAAAGAAAAGAATAGCTGAAGCGGATCCAATCCGAAGACCGCCAACACGCAGCAGCCGAGTACGAAATAGAACCCAACATTTATCACGTGTTCAATTGCATTGTCGATCTGGCTGCTGTTGTGTATATTGGCCTGTAGCAGCCTCAGTTTCTTGTAGACATCGTCAACAGATTTCACAAAAGCAAACCTGGATAGCCGTCCATCCCTATCCGGTCTGAAGAGCCTTATCAAGTCTTTGAGCTTTTCCTCGTCCATCTCACCATTGACATTTGCGACCACAGCCAGTACATCAAAATTCAATGCTCCGTCCTCTTCTATGTCTCTCAACAACAAACGATCAAACACTGGGAGATGCAGGGAGAAACCCCATGTGAATGGCAGGCTGCGATGATGGTGGAGTAGCCATGAGCATGACACACACAATGCATCACGCACCTGTCTGGGCTGATTCTAAACACAATTCCCGCGTTGCACAAGGACCAAAAGCTGGACTGAACGGGTAGTGTCGCTTCAAATGGGCCAGAGCACGGCGAAACTGTAGCACTGGAAGACACAGGGGAGAGCGTTATGTGAGCGGTGTGCTGCCCCGATATCGTGTGATGGGCGTAACACAAGTTTTCCTCTACTTACCGGCACTCATGGTGACTTTCGTGCTCTGGCAGAGAAGCAAAGGCAACAGCACGAAGAATGTTGTAGGCTTCAAAATTATCCAGGAATATTGACACGTACACGGCGCATGCTCACCGTTTCTCGATTCACAAGCTCGGGCTCTTCCCACCGCTCAAGAAGGTCAATGATCATTTGTCTTTCACTTGCTGTGTATTCACTTTTTCCTCCACCAACCGACAGCCGCACCGACTTTGGAATTGAGCCATCAGCATCTTCCGCACTTGCGTTACCGGGACGGCTGACGTTCCCGTTGTCATCGAGATTAGGTATTGCAACGTTCGGCATTGGACTTGCCCCTCCGCTACTCACTTCGTCCTGCAGGAGTTCCGAAAGATTCAGATTATGCTTCCACTCAGGAGTGCTAGTTGTGGCGTCGTCAACATTGGACGATCGGCGAGGAAGCGGAAGGCGAGAAAGAGTTGCAGCTTCTCCCAGCAGCACCATGGAGCCCATGATCTTTGCCACCTCCTCACCGTGATGGACTTGGGCCCACACAACACGTGCGCAAAACTGTAAGATTCTCTTCACTTGCAACATCATTGACACTTCGACAACTCACTGAAGGTTTGTCGGCCCAAAAACAACCCAACGAGGAGGCGTTTGACTGCAACGAGACCTCCGACTGCGACTGAAAGCCTTAGCAAGGTCAAGTAAGCTGGAGTTGCAACAAGAAGCGTAAGGATGGCAGCAACCAGTGGGACAGTGAGACTCGTTTTTTGACACATACCCGAGGAGTTTGGAATGTTGCCCGAAGGATTGTTTTCATTGAACATTGAGATAACTTGGGGGGAGGTAATTACGGTAAGCTCGGAAGCTACTATGTTGAAAAACAAACACCACGAACGAGAGCTCGCTTCTTCTTCTTACCATTTTGCCAATAACACCAGTGATTCACAAAGCGAGAACTGCCCGCTAAGAGTATCATATCGTACAGAGCCCACATAATGCCAGTGAAAGGCCATCCTTTGCTCTGAACCAGTAAAAGAGTGGCGACGGGCCCTAGAAACCTCAGCGAGAACCGGCTTCCCAGCACAATATAGTCAATGCAGAAGGAATGCGTGGCCAACGCCAATGACAATGTGATAACCTGCCTGACGGCAATAAATAAAATCCACCACGAAACGGATGCCTTTGTTGGGTCTTCATGTTCCTCGGCCTCCGTGGCCTCATCGTAATTGAGGGATTTGGGATTGGCTAGCACGTAGTGAAAGATGGACGCCAGTCCTGTTGATGGCAAAATCACGAAGAGAAGCACCGTTTTACAGTAGGCCCACATGGACTTGGTGCGTGGAGACAAGAATTCATTGAAGGTCTCCCAATCTTCTCGGATCCCCTCAGCCAGTAAATCCTTGTGATAATGGAGGCTGTGCTTCTGGTGTTTCTTGGACCCCTTCTTGGGAATCTTCTCCTCGTGCTGTTCTTGTCCGTTCGCGGTGATGATTGCCTCGTCCGATGCATCTTCCTGCATTGCTTGATATGGGTGTTTACTCTTGTGGCTAGTCTCCGCGGAAGCAAAGCTTGCTTTTGACTCATGCGTTGTGCCCTGTTCTTCGTGTCGACTTGCACTGTCATTACTGGCGTCAGGATGGTTGTTTTCGGGCGGCTGGGCGGCTGGAGATTCAATATCGGAGATTGGGGGCAATGTGGAAACCGATTGATGACGATGTCTCCCATGTTGTGTACTCCCACGCATGGCATTATTGACCAGGAAGTGTGCTGCTTCGGCAAATCGTTCCGCCGAAGAAATGGCTCGCTCATGTCCCTTTTTCAGTTTGCTGGTTCGTTGTTCCAGGAACTCTTCATCTAGGTCTTCCTGCTTCATATTCTTCATGGCATCCCCATCTAGTTTGCTCAACTGCGCCGTTAGGCCAAACAAGGTTTCTTCGACACTCTGTGTGTGTCTGTGATGTGTTTTCCGCGTTCGCTTATTGGGACGTTTGGGTGTCTGCGCCCTCGCTTCAGTGGGTGGTGAAGAGGACATGTTGCCAATCGACAGCTCGGAAAGTTTGGCACGATGATGAGTCGATCGCCGCCGTGGTGGATCCTGCCTGTGTGTTTCTCGAGATGCCGATGGAAGCAGTAAAGTAAAGTCCAGTGGTAAATTGGAAAAGAACGAACTTTGTCTTGATGCTTCGCCATCCTCCCTTTGCTGCTGCATCCCCATGTCATCCACGGCTCTCAAAATATTGGTCTCGGCTTCGGATTCAAAGGGCGTTACATCCGCCAAGATATTTCGGAGGCTCCCGGAAAGGGACGAGAGCCGTTTCCTGCGCATGGCCGAAGCTGATGGGGCAGCAATCTCTGGCACGGGTATGACTTGCTCTAGATTCTGTACACTCCACGACACCGTCCGATTATGTCGATGCGCAGGACTTGTATTGGGCTGGTCGTTTGGTGAATCTTGATTATTTCTATCAAGGACAGTACTGGTATGGCGGGATTCTGTGTTGCTTGTGTTGCGATGCATCGGTGGCAGAGGTGACGGAGACCTACTTGGCGACAATGGTGGCAAAACGTTGGATGGAGATTTTGTTGTTTTCTCTACCGATGATCCCGAGAAAGCATGGTTTCCTCCTTGTGATTCTTTGTGGTGCAGTTCTTGTTCAAATCTTCGTTGCTGTTCCCGCAAGATTTCATCCTGCTGCTGCTGTTCGGCCAACAGTGCCGCTCGGAAATCGACCAACCCAGTCTCTGTGCTGGCATCCGGTGGTTCTGGCGCTCGAAACAGATCTTGCAAGGTGCTGGTAGTACTATTATTGCGGTTGTCCGCCAACGAGAGTCCCATGAGCTCACTGCTGCTACATGTATTATTGCTCCCACTCCAAACGCGTCTCAATGGAGGCTCTTTGTCGGGACGATGGTTCCGATGACGGACCGTCTCAGTGGCATTCTCCTGAAGTTGAATTTGCGGAGGTATCGTTGGGTGGCTGTTTGTCGCCATGGAGCCAGTGGTATCCACTACTATTAGTAGGTTGTCGTTTTCATCTGCATCGTGCAACAGTTGTCCAGGAGTGGGAATCGCAAGAGGAGAGCTTTCACTCTCTTTCTTTTCACTTGTCTTGTCCAGAGACAAGAAACGATCAGTCATGGTGGTCTTCAACCATCCAACCTACCTACCTACCTATGCATGGGTCGCCATGAAAGCAGATACTATGGTAGTACTATTAATAGTAAGCTACTACCGTAGGACCAGCTCTTCATTGCTTTCGTCGCTTCTCGCTTGCTTGGGGTGGCAGTGTGCGTTGCATCGACTTTTCTCGCATGAATGGGGATGGTTCTCAAACAGCCCAATCTCTAAGAGTTAAAAAAAGCTGTGACGTCACAAACATATGCCCCCAAACACAAATTATTATTTTTGGGTGGATGGATGCCTTGTGATACCGTACGGTACGGTATACATAGAGCCTACCATATTGTCCAAGCGCAAACATCATACCGTACCGGTACACTGAGCAACACTTGCATTGTTGATTGAATCCTCGCTTTTTCAATGGTTTCAGCGCGGCAAAGAGAACGACGATCGCGATTGCGACGCGCCATGGATGTTCCGTTTCGTGGGTCAGCAATTCGTGTCGCTGCCAGTTTGATTGTTTCGTTGCTGTTGGTCAGTTTTCGATATGACTTTGCGGCTACCAAGTCGATCGTCTCGAAGTATGGCATTTCCACCAATCGGACCGTCACGACTGCCAATCGGACCGTCGCCACAACAGCCCCAGCGACCACGGCAGTCCCAAAGACGACAAGCACCCCGACAGCAAGCGCCGCTGCTCCCACTACAGAAGGCTTGATCAAGAGACGGTTCCTGTTTGGAATATTCACATATGATGGAGGCACAAAAAATTATCAACAACGTATGGCCATTCGGAATTCCTACTTGTCCTTCTATCGAAACCAAGCACCTTTGGACAACCCTGCCATGAAAGAAACAATCTGCTCCTTGGAAGAACTCTTGAACAATCCACACTTAGATGACCCCTATGCATGCCAATTTGTATACACTTTTGTTGTGGGAGGAGGACATCCAGAGCAGCGACCAGACATTTGCTACTGGGAAGAGTGTGGTCATGAGACCAAGGACTTTGTTGTCGCCACTCCAGCCTTTGATGTTTCAGAGGCTCTCTCCAAAGAAATGTCTCTGTTGAATCACACAGACTTTACCTTTCTGAGTGCGCGTGAAAATCATGAAGAAGGGAAGACTGAATCGTGGTTTACGTATGCAGCATCTCTCACCAGGGACCGACCAGAACTCAAGCTGGATTACATTGGGAAAATGGATGATGACACCATAGTGTTTGTGGATAGGATGCTGGGTCGATGGCAGACACGATTCAACCATGAACTTGAGCAACCATTGGTTGCAGGTGGATGGTTGATTCCACGAGATTTGTGTTCCAGTTCCAATTCAGGCTGGGAAGGAGTGTGTGACAACCCCAAGTTCTATGCACCCTACATGCTACCTGGAGGATTCAATTTTGCCTCCACAAAGCTCGCCCAGCAGCTATATCTGATTGGAACTACCTTGGAGCACAAGAAGAAGATGTTCTTTCCAGGCCATGAAGACATGGGTTTTTCGAACATGGTATTCTCCGTTGACAATGTGACAACAGTGCCAGTGGGTGAACACAACCCTGCAACACATCCTACAAAAACGCCGGAGCACATGTACCGAAACTATTTCAAAAGGTGTGCTGAATGCAAACGGGACGAAAAGTTGCTTGAAATTCCAGATCTGGAAACCATGTCTGGTGACGGGGAAAAGCAGGGATAAGAATTGGAACAACTCGGAGCTGACTTCTCCCTATTCGAAGTCAAAGCCTAAAAATGATGAAATTTGATGCTTCGGTCTGCCCTGCAATGCATGCTATTTCTATTGCTGTTGGCTGGAAATAGAGTTCTCGGGGCTATCTGAGGCCAAGCATGGGATAACTACAATTTGCACCCCCGAGCGCGGTCAGTAACCACGATGTATGCACAATAATGGTTGTGGTGCAGGGCTGGTCATTGCCAGTGAAATGTTGAATCTGGCTGTGCGTCGTTCCGATTCTCGGAGTGGTGGAGGACTTCTGAAATCTACACGGTGACGACGAGACTTTGTATGCACAACGATGCTCAGAAGGATCAAGTATCTCTTGGATTGGACAACTAGCTAGCTAACAAGCACAAATGAACCAGAGGAGCTGTAGGCCAAGAATAGTGGATAACTTCCCTACCGACTCTGACCAGTACCGGTACTGGTAGTTGTCCAACCGCGAAAACTAGACTAATGCATGTTTCTTTTCGGGTCCAAGCGTAAATTTTGGGGGTTTAATTAAACGCTCTACATGTACTCGTCTTTCCTGCAACTTTCCAGCCTTTCTTTGATAAGCCAGCTAAGCCTTTACTGTATTAGTTATCGGAAGTGAAGGACCATAAGTGCTTGGAGCGCCGCGGGATGGCCAAAGCTTGTCAACTCGAAATCTGGCATCGAGGTGCACACAACAAAGCGCACCTCTCGGACAAAAAGGTTTTCTGTTCGAGCGTTCATCGTCAAGTATACAGGGCCTACCGGTACTCTAAACCCCCCCTATACAGGGCACAACATACACCATGCTCTTCGAAAATCGATCCCATCGTTCATCGGCAGTCCTTATCGCCACTAGTTTGATCGTGCTACTGTTGTTGGGCGGATTTCGGTATGATTCGGTGACAACGAGGAACATATCGTATGACACTTCCACCACAAAGCTTGATATTTCATCCAACAGCAGCATTCGTGGTCGATCAGATATTCGTGGTACTAGTGATGAGACTCACATCCCACTGACAGCCAACAATGGCTCGAGACAAGCGGCCCCTTCAGTTCTGCGAACAAGTTCTGATTTTCCGACCCAGGAGGGCATTATCCAGAGAAGGTACTTGTTTGGAATCTTTAGTTTTGATGGAGGCTTTCCTCAATATGAAAAGCGAATGGCCATTCGGAATTCCTACTTGTCCTACTACCAGCAGCAAGAGGGCAACTCATCCATCAAAGACACAGTATGCTCCCTTCAAGAGCTCATTCAAAACCCCCGTTCCAATGATCCATATGCATGTCGTTTTGTGTATACCTTTGTCATGGGAGGAGGTCATCCACAGAAACAACCAGATATTTGCTATTTTGAAGAATGTGGGAACCAAACAGAAGACTTTGTTGTTCCTTCTCCCCAATATGATGTTTCAGAATATTTGTTCAAGGAAATGACACTATTGAATCACACTGACTTCACCTTTCTGAGGTCCCGAGAAAACCATGAAGAAGGAAAAACAGAATCTTGGTATACATATGCTTCATCCTTGACAAAGGATCATCCAGAATTCAATCTGGACTACATTGGAAAATTGGATGATGACACCATCATGTTTGTCAATCGACTGTTGGAGGAATGGCAGATCCAAGCCAACCATGAACTGAAACAGCAGCTGGTTGCTGGTGGATGGCTGGTTCCCAAAAACATTTGCTCCAAACCAAGGTGGGGAAGAGTTTGTGATGACCCCAAGTTCTATGCACCATACATGCTTCCTGGAGGATTCAACTTTCTATCCACCAGGCTTGCCCACCTGGTCTATCTGGATGGAACCAGTTTGGAGCACAAGAAGAACATGTTCTTTCCGGGGCATGAAGAGTTGGGATTTTCCAACCTTGTATTCTCAGTTGAAAATGTGACAGCATCAGCAGTGAGTCAAAACAGCCCAGGGTCTCATCCTTTCAAAACTGTTGACGAAATGTACAACAATTATTTCAAACGGAGCAACTGCAAGCGAGATGAAGAGTTCCTGGCCATTCCTGATTTCAAGGCACCGCCAACACCCCCAAGTGCTGATGGCAGCCCCTCACCAGAATTGATCAAAAGACGATACTTGTTTGGCATCTTCACTTATGATGGAGGCACTACCCAATATCAACAACGCATGGCCATTCGGAATTCCTACTTGTCCTTCTATCAAAACCAAGCCACTTTGGACAATGCTGCCACCAAGGACACCATCTGCTCCTTGCAAGATCTTTTGGAAAATCCACGCCCAGAAGACCCCTATGCATGCCGATTTGTGTACACTTTTGTGATGGGAGGAGGGCATCCACAGCATCGCCCTGACATTTGCTACTGGAAAGAGTGTGGGAATCAAACCAAGGACTTTGTGCTTCCCTATCCAGAATACAACGTCACAGATGTCCTCTTCAAGGAAATGACACTTCTGCATCACACAGACTTTACCTTTCTGAGTACTTGTGAAAATCATGAAGAAGGGAAGACAGAATCGTGGTTTACCTATGCAGCATCGCTCACCAGGGATCGACCAGAACTCAAGCTGGATTATATTGGCAAACTAGATGATGATACCCTAGTGTTTGTAAATAGGTTGCTGGAGGAATGGCAGATAAGATTCAACCATGAACTTGAACAACCTTTGGTTGCAGGTGGGTGGCTGACTAGCAGGCGAGATTGTTCCAAGGCAGAATGGGGAAAGGTTTGTGATGACCCCAAATTCTATGCCCCATACATGCTACCAGGTGGGTTCAACTTTGTTTCCACTAAGCTTGCCCAAGAAGCATTCCTGGAAGGCACCAGCTTGGAGCACAAGAAGAAGATGTTCTTTCCAGGGCATGAAGATATGAGTTTTTCCAACCTTGTTTTTTCAGTTGGCAATGTGACGACATCAAGGATTGCGGCGCACAGCCCAGGGTCGCATCCCTTCAAGACTACAGAGCACATGTACAAGAACTATTTCAAGCGTTGCGACTGCCAACCAGATATGTACACGCTTGCCATTCCAGATCTGGATTCCATGCCCCTCCCCATTGCATTTGATGATGATCACATAAACCAGCAATAACAGATCAAGCTATCCAGCAAGCTGAAGGGAGAATTCTGTACCGTAGATCATTGAACAATTGCTGGTGTACGCTGTCAGTTTTCAGCGCTTGAAGCAGGCAGCCACGTCCGTCCTGTAGCCACCACTTGCGACTTGCAGGCAACATATTTTCCTTCCACACGTTCTGGTTTCTGGCGGTCCTGTTGACTCGACTGTCACTCGACTCATAAAAGGGAAAGAGCCAATTAAGGGACAGAAAGAGTGGAAAGAAATAGGGGTGGTAATGTGGGAATTGACAATGATCAATCGAAACTCAGCTTCACGTCGATCATTTCTCAATGGGATTAAAGTTTTCATTATTTCACGGCGTTATACTACATAGCTAGTCCTCCGACTCGACTCCGCTTCTTGAACGCGGCGCCTTTTTCGCCCTTTTTTGGTGTTCCCCAATGATAACCCATATATTCCATCATCGTTGGACTGAAGAAGCCTGAGTTGGCGAGTCCCTCGCCATCAAGTGTGTATTGCAGGTCTTGTGTTCTCTCTCTCTCTCGCAATCCTGTTGCTGACAGTTCAGAAGCAATCGGGGGATATTCAATCAGGACTCTTAATGAGGGCTTGTCTGACTTCACTAGCTTGCTCTTAGCAGTTTCCCATTTCTGCTGCTTGTTGGGATCCTTCTTGAAGTTCGAACTCTCATCGTTGGTACCACGTTTGCGCACATAAAAAACAAAGCTGGAATAAGTGTCCCCACAGCTTTTGCCTGTTTTGTTTTCTTCTCGTACTTTATTTGGACAAAAGAGGAGACAAACTCTGTGTAGCCAGCGTTCCACATGAGAGTCAGAACATCAGGCCCCATGTAAACATCTGGAAAGCAAAAAGGTGGTACCGCCCCTTCCAATTCTGCATCCACCGCATTGTGAATCCATTTCATGACATCTGATGGAGATGCACAAATCTGTGCAAACGCACCATAAGAGGACTTCTGAGATATCACGAAGCCATCCAGCTTTTCGGTGTACTCATTTTTCACCAAGGCCTCTAGTTTGGTACGAATAGGAACCAAAGAACATTTCTCAAAAGCAAAGCCCTGAGCAGATGCATTTTCTTGCAAATATAGGGACCACGTAGTCATATCCTCCAAGCCAAAAAATTCCGCACCAGCTTGCACCACTATGGGTTCACCAATGACAACTTGGTAAATGGTGCCCTCCGGACTGTTCTGCTTGGTCCACAATCCGGCAAAACCAACTTCGACAAGCTCTGCTACATGCTTGCTCATCAGTGTTGTTTGTCCGCCCACGGCATATTTGTATATTGCTTGTCGCAATGCTTGACCTGGGGTACCAAGTCCCTTTTGTCTTGATATAAATCGGTCAATCGAAGTGTAAGCAGTGGTGTTTCCTGTGTAGGATAACCTTCTTTCGCCCGGGCTTTTTGTCATGTAATCAATGTACCTATCAATAGCTTCAACGACCCGTTTCTCATGATCCGTGAAAGCCTTCCTCGAACCAGGGGGGGGCTTGAGAGACCGCCACAAGAATTCTTCCATATAATTTGCCGCCCAACGTGGTCGCCCCACAAGCCACCGTGCGATGTGTTTCTTGACAGCATTCCGGATATTGGTGAGATCCAAAAAGGTTTCCAGATATTGTTCCACTACCTGTTCATCTAGTGGCCGGAACTCATCGAATGAAGCGATGTCTTCCAATGCTTGTTTGGCAACTGCTGCCGCTGACTCTACATCCATATTCTCCTTTGAGATACCTGTTCCTGAAAAAGTAGGGAATGGAATGCTGGGACTTGCTTCCTTTTTGATGACGAGGAATGCTTTCAGGACAGACAGCCGAGTAGGCGGAGCGAGTTCCTTTCCCATCGGAGCTCATAAAGTTCTCATGTCCATTTCTTTGAAGCTGCCGCGATTCGTCCACTACAATAGCTTTCCAATCGGGTTTTTGCCTCCCAACAATGCGATCATCCACTGTCGCTTCGGTGACAAAGTCCTTGCAACCATTGTAGATGTCGAGGAAGATATCACATTCGAAAAAGTAGGTGGGGTACAGCTGTACCAACAGCCAATTCAGCGGAGACAGTGAACCTACTCGTTCCAATCTATCGTGGATGGCTTTCCGAATATACAAGATGGCTCTCAACTTTAGGAGGACCCTCTGCAAGTTGCCCTTTGCCTTTGCTTTCTTCGTCTCGTCGTCATCGTTGAATCGAGAAAGAGTGGGGAGACCACCGAGCACCATATCCACATCTAGATCCTCAGAGCCAGAATCCCTGTTGTTTCTTGTTGTGGCTGTTAGGTATATACCCTTGTTGAGGCTCAGATACTCGAGTGCAGAGCGGGTCTTTCCAGCTCCAGATGTCCCATAGAGGACAGTCACAGATTTCTTCCTGTTCTTTTCAATGTACTTGTAAACGTCCTTCTCCTTGTGTTGGTCATTGGCCAAATCATACAGCAGCAAAGTAGGCTTTGCTTCGCTTCCTGTGGTCCCAGGAATCAGTGGGATCTCTACGTCGTTTTTCTTTAGTGGGGTGAGAAGAGCGCTTTCTTTGGGTTGAAAAGGTTGGAGGGATATCCCTTTCTTCAGCAGGGGAGACCTGTTCTCCAACAGCTTCTCCACCTGCATTTCAAAACCATTCTTTTTTAACCGCGGATTCATACTTGCTAGCTAGCAGATACACTGATATGGGTTTTGTGTGCACATGGTGGAAGTGCTGTTGTGCATCTGCATCGACTCGGACCAGGTCATGAGCGAGAGTTTCGCTTTCGCCTGTCAAGTTCCCTCGCCTCTGCACGAAATGGAACGGGAGCTCTCCGTTGATCGCTTCACTACCCCCCAGTAGTAGCAAACGGGAGGTTCCATTACATGTACTATTCTGTTCCGTACCGGTACTGTAGCCAACACTTACAACTTCCAACAGGAACCTGTTGACTCATACTGTAAAAGGGCAAGAGGCAATTAAGGGACAGTGTGGAACGAACCAGGGGTGGGAATTGACCTGGACCGTCGGACGATTTTCGCTCAGGATTTAAAAGATTCCACGACTGACTAAAAACTTGATTGCCACAATTAAAGGATTGTTTCTTAAGGGATTTTTTTTTTTAAAAAGGGATAGTTAAAGCTTTAAGGGCGTGTTGTTAGGGGATTGTTTATTTAAGGGATTATTTAGGGGATAGTTGAAGAAATGAGGGATAGTTTTATGGTGTTTCCATTTGGCGTTAAGGGATTGTTTAAGGGATAGTTCAAGACTTAGGGGATTGTTTTAAGGGATTGTTTCTTTAAGGGATTGTTTAGGGGATAGTTGATGAGTTAAGGGATTGTTTAAGGGATTGTGTTAAACGTTCATCAGTCCTGGAAATTTCAATTTTTAAAAAAATCCTGTGTGAAAACCGTCGGACGGTCCTGTGTGAATCGAAACTCAGCTTCAACGAAAGGAGTTTGGTTGTGTACCGAAATCCTGGTGGGAACTTCCCGCGATGATGCCCATAGTGAAGAACTCAAATCTTCACAAGATCTCTCTCTTACAAACGTTACAACACGCTCCCGATTGTACCGCTATCTGTGAGCTATATCCTCGATCAGAGAGACAAGAGTGTGTCTTGTTTATGTAAAGCACCATGGCTCGAGCGAGAGTCCTCCTCTTCTTCTTTCTTTGGTCGAGTGCGTGGATGGTGGAGGCAGTCAAGTTCTTGCCCGAACAATACCCTGAAGAGATCACGCTGGAAACAGGAATTCTAATCTCGGCTCCCTTTGCCATGCTAGACGAGAGAGGCAATATCCATGGTCTCATGATTGACTTGATGGAAAGCCTCCAGCAGTTTGCCAAGGAAGACAGTGTCATCCTGACCTTCCAGCAATCGCTCGTCAAGGCGACGTACTTCGACGCTCTCAAACTGGTAGACACAACCGAATGCGAGAAGAACACTACCGTATGCAAAGACAAAAAGGACCTCCTCGTAGCAGACTACTACGGCAATCCGGAGCGTCACGCTCAAGTGGATTTTACGGCACCTTGGGCCCGTTCTTCCATCTCTGCCATGAAACTCAAAGAAGCAGAACCTGGTGCTGTAGAAATCAACACTATAGCTCAAGCCGACCAATTGCGTGCACCTGTATGCCTCTTGAGTGGAGCCTACAACATGGACGTGGCTCGGCAAAAGTTCCCAAACCTCAACTATTTGGAATGCGGTGGATATCCGGACTTTTACAACGATTGTATAGCCAGGCTGAAAAAACGAGAATGTTCCCTGTTTGTGGATGACGAACTCTTATTGCGCTATCATGCCAGCAATGATCCAACCTTGGAAGTGACAAACGAGCAATTCAATTTCCTCTATTTACATTGGCCCATGAGATATGACTTGGAACCGGTAGTCTCATTTCTGTTGAAAAAGTGGGTGTTTCATGCGATTGTGAACGCCACTCTGGATCAGCTGTACTTTCAGTACTTGTCACCGTGGGGGTCGCTTTGTACCTTGGGCACGGCTGGCAAGCACTGTGAAAGGCCATGTGATAGACAGCACGGAAAAGCCAATGCGTTTGGAGACTGCGTTTGCAAGTCTATCCGCTGGACGGCGATGATTGCTCGATTGAAGTCCCAGAAGATGTCAACTTGATTCCTCGGTCCCTCAAAGCCATCGCATACGTCATGGTTGCCCTCAACCTGCTGGTCATTGCCATCTGTGCGGCATGGTTGGTTTGGCAACGAAAGAGTGCTCAAGTTCGCGCGAGTCAGCCGTGCTTCTTGATGTTGGTACTCTTAGGATGCATGATTAGCTCATCTACAATCTTGGCCATGGCCCGGGAGGACGATGTGGATGCTTCGAGAACAGACGACAACGACGACATCGACACGGTGCAGTGCATGTGGATACCGGTAAGTCAAGGTTACTGTGTGTCGTACACATAACAAGTACAGGTGCCGCTCATCGCTCTTTCCTCCACTGCTTCTACCAGTGGCTGTACTCCGTTGGGTTCTCGGTTACATTTGGTACCCTGTTCGCCAAGATTAGGCGAGTCTATGTTACCTTTCTCCAGCTTTCGAAAGAGAATGTGGTTGTATCTTCCTCCCCGACCGGAAGGAACTCTGCCGTCACTTGGCAAGAGACGCTTTTAATCATTGGGATGGTGCTCATGGTAGATGTAGCAATTTTGGTTGCTTGGACAATCACAGATCCATTGGTCTGGCATCGAGAGGTCATACGGTCGGATCAGTTTGGGGCGCCCATGGAATCCTTGGGCTATTGTATCAGTAAGGCATGCTCTTGTGGTGGTATGGCAGTGTTCACGAGACATGCCCACCCCTCATTCCTTCTTGTTGTTTGACTCGACTTGGCTTGCTCTGGCCATTGATAAAAGGCGACTCATGGAAAGCCTGGGGCGCTGCTATGGGTGCTTTACATCTCAGCCTTCTTGGTGTAGCTTGCTATATGTCCTACCGGGCCAGAGATATCCCGACCATGTACCAGGAGGGGAAGTTTGTTTCCATTGCCATGATATCCAACCTCCAGGTGAGTGCATATTATGTGTTTGCAACATTATAGCGGTTGCCTGCTATTGACTAATTGTATGAGTCCGTATGAGCTAACGGATGCACCTCGTCTTCTCCCCCCTCCAGATCTTTGTTGTAGGAGGTAATCGAACGAACTACAAGGCATCTGCTGCAAGAGCCAAGAATCCAGCTAAACCATCATTTCCTCGCATTCTCTTGTACACATGTAGTTCCAATCCTCATCATCGTGGGAAACGATCCACAGACTGCCTTCTTTGTTCGCAGTGTCATTATATGGATGGTAAGATCGAGTTTGAAAAAGAAAAAACCCAACAACAACCAGCCTTTTCTAAGTTTCCTGGCTTTGTTTGTCCACACAGAATGACTTGTGCCGTGTTGGTTTGCATATTCGGGAACCTAATATACAGCACGTACACGGCTCCGCCGGTAGCTACCGGTAGCACTGCCTTGATCAAGGATGAAGTGACAAAGGCAGTGACAGTCTATGCTGAAAGAATGCGAAGGAAGTCATTTAGCAACAACACCCCTCCGAGCCCTGTGAATCCGCCCAAACCAATGATAGGGGGAGATGCAGATCCTGAAATCAGAGCCCACCAGAGGACGAGGAGTCAGCCAGAACGAGGTTGGAAATGTATGCCCAGCCTGTTTGTCGACGAACGAAATTGGAGCTGGAAAATCAAAGAGACCACTTTTGGTGCCTGCTGCGAGACGAGACCTTGTGTCGTCACTCACAATGATCTCTGAGGTTCCTGAACTCCTCTTTCAACCCGAAGAACGAGACAATATGATATCGTCATTGTCCGCGGGATCGTCGCAAACGGAGAAAAAGCTCTCCAGGGGTGTGGGTTTTCACATGCCACACTTCTCCGAAGGGGATGACGAAGATGACGAGGAGACGCTTCCCTCTTTCCCTGGTGATCGCAGACAGCACTTATTTGCCGTTTGGGAAGGAGTACGGCGTCGTCACAGTCACGATTCAGCCTCCTTGGCAAGCTTTAGCGTATGTGATTCTCGAGCATCTCCTCCACGGCACCATCCCGGCATTGCAGCATGGCAAACTGCTCGACAGCAACGAGATAACGACTCAGCGACAAGGTCTGCTGGTAGTTGCGACTCGACAGCCAACGTCACTCCATCTTCCCACACCGGTTCGTCAAATCCTCCATATCGGCGTCGTCGCAGCTTTGATTCCGCCTGCCTTGCCAGGATCGACTCTATATCAGGAGTAACACAACCACGACGTTACTACGGAAAAGCCGAAACCGATTCACTTGCGTCATCGTCTGTGGGTCCGCCCCGCCACCCTGGAATTGCTGCAACAAGGCACCACGTTATTGCCGCGCAAGCTGCAAGACAACACCACAATGATGCACTTTCAAGCCCCCAAAAGAGCCTGAACTCTGAAGGGCCTTCAGTGAATCAGTCCGCGGAAGGGCTTGATGCAAGTGCTGAAAGGTTTCAGAGTGGACGTCGCTCTTCTCTAGTGCCTCCAAGCGCTCCGAGTCGACCCTTGCATCTGTCTAGTGTCGACGACGAAACATCCCTTGACTCGGAAGTTCAGGAAACGATCACTGTGGGAGAGAGACCAGGAGTGGTTCTGCCGCCTTTGCCAACACTCGGAATTACAAAGGCTGCTTCCCAAAAGACAGTTCCAGACAAAACACACTTATGCATAAAGAATCGGCCCCCAAGGCTCCCCAAACGAATGTTGTCGTCGCCAGAAGGATCTCTTGGAAGCAACAAGCCAGCGTCTGGGCAGCCAGTGCCAGACCAGACTTCCTTGAGGCACGCTGTTGCGTTCCTAAATCAGCCCCCGGAGCTTCCTGAAAGGATGGTGTCATTGGCAGATGGATCACTTGGAAGTATAACTTAAGTATAGAATGAAGCCAACTCCCAGATCGAATTATTCTACAAGGTCCTTGCTTTTTGCATGTTAAAGATTTGTGCACAAACATTCTTCACAGCAAAAAGATCCCGTACTCTTGAAAGCCACATTTTAGTTGCATTTTCCAACCATCTTCCACCCAATTCCTGGGCTCGTAACCATCAGAGAAC